TCCATTCTAGGTGTGTGCACACCCATGTGCACAGTTGTCAGAGACTTTTGATGTAGCCATATCTGTAGGGTCAGCTGCAGCGCCCCCCTGAGAGCTGTGCTCATGCATTGGTATATTGGGTGCGGCCAACCCTACACCCTCTCAGTTCCTTCTTGCCAGCAACTCTGACAGAGCGGTAGGAAGGCGGGTAATAGAATGGACATGAGCAACACATCTTGAAGAACAGTTAGTTACAAAAAGGTAGGTAACAGTTTTTTCTTCGAGTGCTTGCTCATTCCATTCTAGGTGACTCACAAGCAGTATCCTTGGAGGTGGGCTCAGAGTTCACAGTTTAGCAGCTTGTAATACTGCCCTACCAAAGCCAGCTTTGTCCCAGGCCTGCTGGGTAAGTGCATAGTGGGACGTGAATGTATGGAGGGACGATCAGGTAGCTGCCCTATAGATGTCCTGGATAGGCACTTGGGCCAGAAAAGCTGCCAAAGAGGCCTGCACCCTGGTCGAGTGGGCAGTTACAATTGCCAGGAATGGCACTTTTGCCTGATTGTAGCAGCAGTGAATGCAGGTGGTGATCCACAAAGAAATTCTTTGAGCAGACACTGGGCGACCTTTCATCATCCTATCAGCCACAGAGACGAATTGCATCAACTTACAGAATGGCCTGGTGCTTTCAATGAAGGACAGCTCCCTCCTGACGTCTAGGGAATGCAGCCTACACTCTTCCTCCGACTTATGCGGCTTTAGAAGAAAAAAGAGCCAGGTAAGTAAGTGTCCTGGACCATATGAAACAGAGAGACCACCTTGGGCAGGAAAGCAGGGTGTGGAGTCAGCTGGAGCTTGTCTTTGTAAAAGACTGTTTAGGGCAGTTCTGAGGTGAGCTCCCTAATCTCAGAGGCTGGGTGGACAGATGTTACTGTAACCAGGAAAGGAGAAGGAGAGAGCAGGAAGCCAGAGGCTCAAAAATGGGGTCTTGTGAGCCGTTACAGCATCAGATTCAGGTCCCATGGAGGAACGGGATCCCTGACATGCGGGTAGAGGCGCTCAAGGCCCTTGAGGAACCTGGCAGTCATGTCCTGGGCGAAAACAGACCTTCCCTTGAGCAGCGGATAGAAAGCCAAGATAGCCGCCAAGTGGTCCTTGACAGATGAAAGGGACAGGCCTTGGAGACTGAGATGCAGAAGGTAGTCCAGGATTAACTGCAGTGAGGCTCACTCAGGCTGAACGCCTTTGTGTGAGGTCCAACAGGCGAACCGCTTCCATTTGGCCAGGTAGGTTGCTCTGGTGGACAGCTTTCTACTGTCCACTGACCTGTTGGACATCGACCGAGCACTGCGGCTCCTGAGCATTTAACCATGCGGGAGTCTGCCATGGTTCTAGGATAGGAGGTCTGGCTTCAGCAGTAGCTGCAACGGAATGGCCAGGGAGAGGTTCAGGAACAAGCCAAACCAGTGCTGGTGTGGCCAAGCTGGCACTATGAGGATTACCTTTGCCCTGTCCTGCTTGATCTTCATGAAGACACTGAATTAATGGTACTGGGGGGGGGAAGGCGTAAAACAGAGCCCCCGACCACATGAGCAGAAAAGCATCTAAAAGGGAGCCTCTGTCGATCCCCAGAATTGAGCAGAAAAACATGGCATTTCCTGTTCTGTCTGGACGCAAACAGGTCCACCTGGGAGTTCCCCACTTGTGGAAGACGAAGCTGACCACTTCTGAATGGAGGGACCTCTTGTAGCAAGAAGGTCCTGCTGAGGCCATCTGCTTTGTGCTCGGGTGCACCCACAAAATGATTGCTTCTGGCCTCCTTGGTTCGGGGGTGGGGGGAGGGAGTCAGACTGAGCAGACTAGTGGGAAGATGATGGGTTCCTGCAAGAGGAAGGACAGAGACCAAGGGATCTAAGCAGCAACACCCAACTGTGGAGTTCCCCAGGGCCTAGACTGCAGGGGTGGAGGAGGCAGAGGGCGTAACAGCTTCCTGGCCTGCTGAGGAGTGTGAAGGCCCAAGGAGCAGAGGGTGGCCCAGGAGTCAAGTCTGTGAGCTCAGAGAAGAGCCACACCCCTTCAAACAGGAGGTCCTGAATAGTGGCCTGCATCTGCTGGGACAACCTGGACTGCAGCCAGGAATGGCACCTCACGGTCACCATGGAGGTGACCACCCTAGCCACTGAGTCAGTAGCATCCCAGGCTATTTGGAGGGGCCCCCTCACCACTGCTGTGCCCTTGTCCATCGAAGCAGTGAACTCCCGGGCTCGATCTTGTGGAAGGGCCTATTTGAATTTGTTAGGGGAATCTCACAGGTTAAAATTGTATCTGCCTAATAGGGCCTGGTGGTTAGACACCCAAAATTTCAGGCTTGCCATTGAATAAATCTTTCTGTCAAATAAGTCCAGTCTTTTGGCATCTTTTTTTTTGGCGTGACACTGACTTGGCCCTTCCTGTCCCTTTCATTAACAGCAGACAACTAGTGATGTTGCTAGAGGGTATGGATACAGATATTCAAAACCCTTCTTCAGGGATGTAATACTTCTTTTCCACCAACTTCAAAGGCGGCGGAATGGAGGTGGAGGTTTGCAACAGCGATTTTGCAATTTTAAGGACCCCTGGGTGGATGGGCAGTGCAACCTAGGCCATGGTGGAGGAGGATATAATGTTAAAGAGCTTGCCTGACACCGCCTCAATTTGTATGTTCAAATTAGTAGCCACCCTTGTAAGGAGGGCCTGGTGCTCCCTGAAGTCATCAGGAGGACTGCCTGTTTGGGAGGGACCTGCCACCACTTTGTCCGGTGACAACGACTGCACCACCTATGGAGGAGCAGGTTCCCCCCACCCTCTCTGGGGATGGCTTCTTAGGTGCTGGAGTTCAGTGAGCTCTCCCGGATTGGATTCGGTACCGTGTTCTGACTCCAGTGCTGGTGGTGCCAGGGCTGGTTTGTCTGAGGTGGCCCAGGAGGACTGGTGGGAAAATGGGACCGGCATTACTAGCACATTCGCACGGGTTCCAGTACGGCCATTGAGTGGGCCACTGTCCCTGCTGCCACGAGGTCCACGCCAATCTCACGCGTCAGTGGCGAATCACCCCTCCGTGGCAAGGGGCTGAACTCCTGGTTTGACTTGGACCATTGCTCTTCTGGTGATCAGGGCGGAGCCATCGAGGCCTGAGTCTGCCAACTGATTCTGGTTGGCAACCAGCAAGGCAAGGGTGAGGAACACCACCTGCCTGACAATCGATACCGGGGGGAAGGGGACTGCTGTCATGACAAGTGGCCCCAGCCTCGCTGGGACCAACGTCTGTGAGACCATCTGGGTGAAGGTGAGCTAGGTTGCGGCGATCTTTGATGGGAAGCTCATCGTTCCGGTGGTATGGGGACTGGTGCTGCAACTCCAGTGTCTCATGTCTCGTAGAGGAAGAGCTCGTTGAGGACCTGGGCCTTCTGGTCAGAGAGCTAAGATACTGTGCCAGGGTCCGAGGCCGTGGAGATGGAGATCTGAGCCTGCGGTCCAGTGACAGAGGGTGTTCCACTGCCCTATGAGGCAGTACCATGATCAGCTTGCCCCTAGATGTCAGGGTCTTAGACGAGTCTGTCACCTGATGCAGCATCTGCGGTGCCAGTCGGCCTACTTGTTCTTTAGCTACCGGGGCTGCTTCGGGCAATGAGGGCTCTGGGAGAGACCGGGGTCCCCTACTTGTCTCTGGAGTTGGATCTCTGGCCAGGCTTTGGGGGGGGGGGGGGGGTCAGACCTCTATGGTACACCAATGAAGCCCCAGGGAGGGCACATGGCCTGACATAGGTCATTTGCCCAGAGCCCCTTTCCCTTCCAGTGCTGGGGGGCTCTTATTCTTTTGCCATTTCTTAGGCACCAGTGAGGGGGAATGGTGCCAGGCGGAGCACTTTGCACTGAAGCGCCAGCGTGGTATCCAAGTGGGAGGGCTCCGATGCAGGACGAATCGCAGCCTCCAACAGGAGGGCCCTCAAGCAGACACCCCGCTTCTTTTGAGTTCTAGGTAGAAAGTTTTTACAGATTCAACACTTGTCCTTTCTATGGGATTCCGCCAAACACTTAAAACAGCTGTGGGGGTGTGTGCGCGTGTGTGTGTGTCACTGTTAGGCATCAGCCTACTGCTCGATGAGCATGGTTTGAAGGTTTATACCTACAAACTATTTATACAAAAAAAGATAAACCAGTGGTTCTCAAACTGTGGGTTAGGACCCTAATATGGGTTGTGACCTTGTTTTAAGGGGGTTGCCAGGGCTGGTCTTAGACTTGCTGGGGCCCAAGCCCTAGCCCCTCACGCAGGGCCAAAGCCGAAGACTGAGGGCTTCAACTCTGGGCTGTAGTGATCAGGTTACAGGCCCTTTGCCTAGGTGGTGGGCCTCAGGCTTCAGTCCCTCCTCCTGGGGTTGTGCAGTAATTTTTGTTGTCAGAAGGGAGTTGTGGTGCAATGAAATTTGAGAACCCCGAGATAAACAAAGACTGTAAAGAACCGTTAATGCTCTTGCAATTTGCAAGACAAGGCGCTCCAACCAACCATCACGGGCGGTAAGAAGGAACTGAGAGGACATAGGGTCAGTAGTGCCTAATATACCGACGCATGAACAGGGCACTCAAGGGGGCACCACAGCTGATCCTATGGATACCACTAAGGCAAAAGTCTCTGACAACTGTGCATGTGGGCACACACAAGCCTAGAATGGAATCAACATGAGCATGCACTTGAAGAAAAACTGGTTACTTCTTAAGGTGCCTGCAATATATTTAAAACTGTACTTGATCTTCATTTAGATTTTTCAGAGAGGTCAGCTAGGGATAAAGGACAATGTATACCATTCACTAGAATTTTATTTTCATTACTAGTATCTCATTTTTGCCCTTATATACACACAGGTGCCCCTCCTAGTGACTTCTATCTGAACTGAACCTATGTGAGAACTAAGTTGGTTCCTTGTGGCTAGTGAACAATAAGAGGACAAAGAACACACATGTATTCAAACATAACTCCAACTTACCTCAAGGGGCATTAGTCTAATTAGTGTTGCAAAGCACTGAGTAGCCATGAAACGTACACTGTCCGTCTGATCACTCATTCGACCCAAAACTGGGACCACTAGAAGGACAATATATGGAACAATACCAACATCTAGCTGTTCCATTACAGCTGTATTTGTTATTAAGGAAATATTTTAACCGGTTCAGTACCTGCTTTACACTACAAATGGTATATTTTGTACTTGCGATTAGTAGTCAAAACTTCAATCATATTCTGTACATCAGCAAAAAATTTGCATCATTAAGTCAACAGGAGTAGAATTTTATACAAATATATCGGGGGAGACAATTTCAGAAATGCATATATCAACTAGTTATTTAAGGATGACCCTCCTAGAAATGCTGCAATGCTTTGAAAGGAACACTGAAAACAAAACAGAGGCTTCATCTCGCCAAAGGAGTTTCAAAATTAAAGTTCAAACTAAACAGAAATCATGTTGACATTTTAAGAAGTCAAATGTAGATTGACGTAGACTACACATCTCCGGGGGGGCGGGGGGGGAGAGCTCTTGCTGGGCAGCGTGGCTGGCTCTGGCATGGTATGGGGGCGGGGGGCAGTCAGGGGACAGGGAGCAGTTGGATGGGACGGAGGTTCGGGTGTGGTCAGGGAACGGGGGGCTGGATAGGCGTGGGAATCCCGGGGGGCCTGTCAAGGGGCAGGGGTGTGGATAGGGGTCGGGGCAGTCAGGGGACAGGAAGAAGGGGGGCTGGATAGGGGGTGCGGTTCCCGGGGAGGGGGTCAGGGGACAAGGAGCAGGGGAGGGGTTGGATGGGTCGGGGATTCTGAGGCCAGGCAGTCAGGGGGTGGGGGCCAGGCTGTTTGAGGAAGCACAACCTTCCCTACCCAGCCCTCCATATAGTTTTGAAACCCTGATGTGGCCCTTGGGCCAAAAAGTTTGCCCACCCCTGGCATAGAGGGTTAGAAATTGGATCTTTATGAATTATCTGAAAAATACTGAAGTGGAGTGTTCGTGTGTACGATGTAGATTTTTAGCTGATAATGGACAGAATGCTTTTCTTTCGAAAGTAGAACTAGTATTCATCTTGGAAAATAATTGTTTGTAGCATTAATACTATTATTTAGGTGATAAACTTTGTTTTTGCAATATTTATGTGATCGGAATTAAGATTGCATATTTTCTGTTGAGGAGGCATATGAATTATGACTAATGGATCAGAGAGATATGGAGGAGAAAGCTAAATTATAATTGTGAATTGCAAGGTTTAGATGAGGTATAAACCATAAAAGAGGCAGAAAGTTGCTAGTTGTGTCCATCTATATCCCCAGTCACCACTACGAGCCTGGTCTCCCTCCCATCACTATGCTTCCCTACATATACAGCTTTTATCAAATAAATAAAACCTAAATGTTTATATCGGAGGGAGGCATGGTGGGGAATGTGGATAGCGGAGTGGAGCTAGTGATGTATGGGAAAAATATTTGGGAGCAAACTGTGGGAAGCAGGGTGGTATGAGGGCACGGATGCAATGCAAGAGAGAAGAGTAAAGTGGACGCAGAGCTGCAGAGGGCTAGGTCATGTGTGGGCTGTGCATGAGGTAGATGGGAAACAAGTGGGGTGGAAGAGAGCTCCAACAAACTGGTTACGGTTCATCAGAATGTAGTATCTATCAGCTCCTCCTATGTCAGCTTAGTCCCCACATACTTTCTCAACCCCTTTGGCTCTCCCTGGTATTGCTGCATGTTGCACCAGAAGAGCTGATGGGGAAAGGTGGTAACAGGTGAGAGTTTAAGTTGATGTGAGGGACTGAATGGCGATCTGCAGCTGTACAGATGTAGCCTAGATAGTTTTGATCAAGGCATCAGTACTTAAAAGCATTCCTCCATACTGCCTTATATCACCAGCACATCAGGCAGCAGCATCCAGGAATCAGAATTTCTACACAGAGGCACTGGTGCATTGAGGGTTCCCCTGGGTAGGTGACATGGCTGTTTAGCTAGAGAAATGCAAAGAAATCTGAACACAATGACAAACTTCCAAAAGTTAGTAAACTTTTTCCTAAAAAATTAACTAGGAAATTCAATTTTGCAACAACTAAGATAACTGGAGACCAAACAGAGGGATTTTAGCCTCCTGAAAATGCAAAATTTTAACATGTGCTACACTACAGAGTTGCTTGTGACACCCCCATAATATTTTTTAAAAGTTTAACTAAAGTAGCACAAAAAAATTCTAGGCTGGACACACAATAGGACTAAATAGGTCCTCCAACACTGAAAACTGCACAATCCAAAGATTTAATGTACCATTAGTGATAAGCACCAGCATACTGCTATTGCCAGAAATCTTCATGTTCTGTAGCAGATACTGCAGACTGTGATAGTGCATATCATTACTCAGACTAAGTGCTGAGTAACTCAAAATATGGAAATTACTGACACCATAAAAGGAGAAAAATGTCAAGCAGAAAAATAGGGTGGGTGGTCATAAACACACTACCAATTTTGTAAGATTTTGCATTCTGATTGAAACTATGAAGTAATAGCTCATTCTACTGGATACAGGCTAAAGGTTTCCCTTCTGCTTCAGATCCAGAAATCACTGTTGGCTCATTTGCTCTGTTATTTCACATGCAAATCAATCAAGATAATTTGTTTATTTTCAGTCATTTGAAAGTGAAGCTTTCTTTGGTTCTGAGAAGTTTCTACCAGTCTTCAAGATGGTTCATACAATCATTTCAATCTTTAAAATGAAGACAAAAATAGTTACCTGCCTTCTCTGTTCAGTTAGGAGGTCATTTGCTTTGGTTAGATCAGAACTATTTTCTTTAAAAAGGCTCAGAGTAGTTTGGGCTTTTTCTATTAAAAATTTTTTCTCTGATATTACCAACGAAAGGAGAGATTACTTACCTACACGGTAACTGGAGTTCGAGATGTTTTGTCGCTATGGATGCTCCAATTCATACATGCATGCATGCCCACATGCCTTTGATCAGAGATTTTCAACAGCAGAATCCATGGGTTTGCACCTCTGCTCTACATCTCCTTGTGCTCTGGTCTGAAGATATGTAGGGAAGGGCAGACCCGCTGCTGCTCCAGTTCATTCTCTACCATGCAACTTGGTGAGAGACCAGGACTCAAAAGCAGAAGGGAAGAAGAGCAGCTAGTGGATCACCCATAGGGACAAAGCACCTCAAAGAACTCCAGTTTCTGTACAGGTGAGTAACCTCTCCTTTGAGTAGTGGTCCCTATGGGTGAGCCACTTCAGGTGACCCCCTAGCAGTGCCCAGACTACTGAGTTAGGAGCTGGCAGGGTCTAGTACCGATTGGAAGACAGCCATCCCAAAGGCTGCATTTGCTTAGTGCTTGGAAAAATCAGGGGGTGGCCTTACAGATGTCTAAAACAGTAGCAGTTTTTAAGCAGAGCCATAGAGGGAAACCGTTCCCTAGTACAGTGGGCAGTCACCCTAGAAGAAGGGTGCCATGCAGAAGCTTCAGAGCATGACAGAATACAGCCCAAAACCCATTTAGACAGTCTTTGAGCAGATATATAGAAACAAAGAGCCTAGGGGAGGCTTTGGTACTATGGAGGTAGATGCCTACAGTTCTTCTAACATCCAGGATGTGAAGATCAGTTTCTTTCCTAGAACTGTGAGGTTTAGGGTAGAATAGCAACTGAATATTCTGATTAAATATGGCTGTATGAAAAGATCTAGGGTAGGAAACGAGGGTGTTGATGAAACGTCACTTTGTCCCAGCAGAAAAAACTGTGCAAGGTGGGTCAGCCATAAGGGCGCCCAATTCCTCAAATCTCCTAGCCAAGGTGATTGCTACTAAGCAGGAGGTCTTGAAAGATAAATGAAGCAGAGAGCAGCTCACCATGGGCTTGAAGAATGGTTTCATCAGAGCACTTGGGACAAAGTTGAATCCCAAGATGGTGCAGGCTCTCTGACAAAGAGAAAAGGCACATAAATGGGGTCCCAGACAGATTTTGCTGGGATCCTTCCACCGAGGGAGTTGAGAATCTTCTGCAGAATAGACACCCTCTTGGCCAAGCTGTGTTTGTTGGGTTCGTAGACTGTCCTGACCTAGGCTTGGAGATATTGCAAATCAACCCCAACATTTGTGGGACATAACAAATGTAACCTAACAGCTTACAGGCAGATCCAACCTATAGTTTGAGGACTCCTCTGAATGTCCAAGATTAGGTTGCTGAATCTGATGGCAAGAAAGCTCTAGTGGTTCTGGAATCAAGCGTAATTTCTATAAACTTGATGCACTGGACTGGCATCAAGATAGACAATTCTAAATTCAGCCTCAAAGAGCAGAACAGGACCAGAGCCTTAAAGCCTGCAGACTGAACCTCTACAAGGGACCAGCCCCAGAGAAGCCAGTTGTCAAAGTAGACAGCTGCTGGCAAAACAAAAACGCAGAATCATGTATATGTAGGGCTGGAAGAAACCTTGAGAGCTCATCTAGTCCAGCCCACTGCACTGAGGCACAACCCAAGTAAAACTAGACTATCCCGGACAGGTGTTTGTCCAATCTGTTCTTAGAAACCTCCAATGATGGAGATTCCATAACTGCCTTTGGAAGCCTATTCCAGTGCTACCATCCTGATAAAGTTTTTCCTAATATCTAACCTAAATCTCCCTTCCTGCAGTTTAAGCTGATTACTTATTGTCCTATCTTCAGTGGACAGGGAGAACAGATCACTGTTTCTCTTTAAAATTGCCCTCAACGTATTTGAAGACTTATCAGGTCCCTGGTCCCCATTCCCTCCGTCTTCTTTTCTCAAGACTAAACATGCCCAGTTTTTAAAATTTTCCTTGTAAGGTGAGGTTCTCTAAATCATTTTCATTGCTCTCCTCCAGATTCTCTCCAATTTATCCTCACCTTTCCTAAAATGTGGTACCCAGAACTAGCTCAAGTGCTGTGTTGGAGGCCTCTCCAGTGCCGAGTAGAGCAGACAATTACCTCCAATGTCTTATGACTGACACTCATGTTAATGCTAATGCCATTCTGGAGTGTCTTTCATAACTGCATCACACTGCTGGCTCATATTCAATTTGTGATGCACTATACCTCCCACGGTCTTTTCCGTAGTACTACCACCAAGGCAGTTATTCCCCATTTGTAGTTGTGCATTTGATTTTTCCTCAAATGTAGTACACATTGCACTTGTCTTTCTTCTTGATTATTTCAGACTAATTCAAAGTCATTCTGAATTCTAATACTGTCCTCCAAAGTGCTAGCAACCCCCTCCCCCACCTTGGGGTCATCCACAAATTTTTATAAGCATACTGTCTACTCCATTATTCAAGTCAAATAATGAAAACATTGACTAGTACCATACCCATGACTAGGGCCCTACCAAATTTTTCATGGCCATGAAAAATGCATCATGGACCAGGAAATCTGGTCTTGTGTGTGCTTTTATCCTATATTGTACAGATTTCTCGGGGGAGACCAGCATTTCTCAAACTGGGAGTCCTGACCAAAAAGGGAGTTGCGGTGGGGTTGGGGTGGTCCTCAAGGATTTTAGGGGGGGGTCATGGTATTGCCACCCTTATTTCTATGCTGCCTTCAGAGCTAGGCAGCCAGAGAGCAGTGGCTATTGGCCAGGTGCCTAGCTCTGAAAGCAATGCCCCACCAGCAGCATTACAGAAGTAAGAGGGACAATTCCATACCATGCCATCCTTACTTCTGCGCTGCTGCTAGAGGTGGCTTTGCCTTCAGAGCTGGGCCACTGCCCTCCAGCTGCCCAGCTCTGAAAGCAGTGCTGCAGCCAGCGGCAGCGCCGGAGTAAGAATAGCAGTACGACCACCTCTACCCCCTACAACAACCCTGTGACCACCACACAACTCCTTTTTGAATCAGGATCCCTACAATTACAACACTGAAATTATACATTTAAATGTCTGAACTCATGAAATTTATGATTTTTAAAATCCTATGACAGTGAAATTGACCAAAATGGAATGTGAATTTGGTAGTGCCCTACCTATGTCAGACCCCTGCAGGGCCCCACTAGATATGGCCTCCCAGCTGAACAATGGATCATTGATAACTACGCTTTGAGTATGGTCATTCAACAGTTATGGACCCACTTTACAGTAATTTCATCTAACTAAGAGACACCACAAGGCTCTGTCTCAGGCTATAGGTGGTTGAAAAGGAACTGAAGCAGGAGCGAGTCTGCCCTTCCCTATAAACTCTCAGATTGAAGCTTGAGGATGTGTAGGGCGCGGGCTTGGACCTGTAAACACTGCCATAAAAAATTTCCAATCAAAGGTGCATGGGCATGCATGCATCTGAAGAAAAGCACCCACAGGGAAAAGCACTTGAAGAAGAACGCTGCATTTGTTGTTCCAACTTCTATTATCACTACAAATCCTGCATTTTGGGACAAATAATTTAACACACATATTTACCAGATTTCAAAAAAGACAAAAAACACTGAAGGTATCACAACTGTTCGGGTATATAGGACAGAGAGCTGTCTTACATATGAAGACAGACATGAAATAAAAGGGGTATATGAACAACCCTTTGTACATATTGTTTGCAACATGGGAATTGCCACATTGGATCACATCAGTAAGTCAGAGTCTGGAATCCTGCCTCTAACAGGGACAGATGCTTCAGAAGTACCCTAGGCAGTTAGTGGTTGGCTAATGTCCTAAGCAAGAATGTTTAAATAACTCTCCAAGTTCTTAAGGTTAGATATTATCCACTTAATAGGTTTAATTTTTTTGATAGTCCTATTTAGCTATGGGCCTTGATGGTAATCTGCCACAGATTCATTACATGATATGCATACAATTTTATCATTTTAAAAACTTGTTGCCTTTCAGTTTTCATTGGAAAGATAATCCTGCAATTCTCTTTCACACTATCTCCACTAAAACCTCAACAGGAGCAAAAAAGCTCATCTGATGGGCAACTTAAAGTGATCCAACCGGAAGCCCAGCATCCTACACTAGGAGGATAAAACAAAATTTTACTTTTATTTTCTACTTTTCACACTACAGAAATTGTATTTTTTGCTAATCACACAATTTTAGATAATACAAGCAAGGATACAAGCAAGCGCTTCAATTGCACCCTCTTGTTTGGTATTGTCATCTATTGCTCCCAGCCATGGAATAACCTTCTCTAACAAAATATTCATTGTATCCATGGTAGCTATTTTGCTCATAACACCTACACAACGAGCAACCATGTGTCTCACTGCAGTGCTTGGATGCTGAAGGCACACATAAAGATGAGGCAAATGCTTTATCAACTGAAAAGAAAAAAAAAGAAAGTCAGATCTCTATATTGCATATAAATATATTTATTTCATCAATTATTGTATCCTAGTCAATACCATAAGGATACCCAGATTAAGACTTCTGAATGCAGAGAGGTCTGAGAAAAAACAGTATACTGCCCATACAAACATAATGTAAGACTAATTTACTTGCACTTGGAACAAGGGATATTCTCCAGCACAGTAAGAAGTCAATTAGCAAAGCAAGACAGATGTATGAAGTTCTTAAACCTGAATTTAAAATTTAAGCACTCTATAGATAGGAAAGAAGTTTCAAACTGAAAAAGCATCATCTCAATCTGTGAGAGTTAAGTGCTCAGAACTTTTGAAAAAAATTTTAAAAAAAAATTTTAAAAAAAAGTGCTTACATATAGAATTAGGAAACTAACTTGAGGCTCTTTTTTAAAATCTTGGCATTTAAGTTCAGAAGAGTCTTTTCAGTTAGTCATTTTCTTCCTTGCTGACTATACAGGGAAATATTGGACCACATTCTATCCCAGTCATAATTGTATTGACCACCCTTCTTTCCACTTTAAATCATTTCACATTCCTGAGTCAACTACAGCAACTGCTTATTCAGAAAAGTAGAATTAGGAAAATATATTATATTTGTACCTATACTTTAATGCAGTTTAACAGCAAAGAAGAGACAGGCCCATATGACCAGTCAGCTCCACACAAACAATTTGGAAACCTCTGAACCAGAACAAAATACATTTAAATTCAAGGAGCTTACTGTTGTCTTTAAAACAATGTAAACTGCACTGTAGCTTGAATTTCAGATATTACCAACAACTACATTTCCAAATGGCTTTCCTCCCTCTTTATAGATGATATATGAAAAAATAAGATATTTTGATTTTCTTGACCTATCCTGCACCTTGTAGATAAAACAAATATGGAATTGAACTATATTTAAAAAGGCGCATGGCATAAAGAAGGGATAGAACATGCAGCTTTCATATCTAGAAGCTAAATAAAAAAAAAATGCAGGAGGCGGTCTCTTTTCTTAAGGAGACTAATAAGTGATCTGAAGAGAGTACACAAGCAACCTAATAGCAATACAACTATATAATGAACTGAAGTATTGTAAAAAAGTACAACAAACAATGGCAATGAATGCAAATTGTTTGGTCAGGAAATCACTTTGGAGTAGAACATGCTAATTACCAAAGGGTGAAGCTGAATGTCCATTGACGCTGCTGTTGTTTCAAACACCTGTAGAGAATTGACCAACTCCTGAGCAGACACATCTCCCTTTTCCAATAAGGATTTCCGATCTGTTAAAAACAAACAGATGTCCAGTTTCAGATAACACACATGCTATAAGAAAACAAAAAAACAAGAACATAATAAGAAGTGTACATACCAAAACTGTTTAGGTTAATATTATTTCTTAGTGGACCAACCATAGCATCCCAGAGATGTGGCAATCCTATTACCATTTCAGCACCGAAATGTTTAGCTATAGTAGATAAGGCAAATTCAGCTCCTCTCCTCTGTACAATATATGGCTTCTGAGCCTAGAATTAAAATATGGTTGAGGGAATAAGTAGATTAAAGGAATTTAAAAATGAAGCAAAGCTTGTTACATTCAAGCAAGGTTTAAGTGTTAAACAAATCTGCAAATTGCACAAAAAAAATAAAGAATGTCCTTCCCTGGCTCAAACTTAAACAAATTTGATTGCATAACCAATATTATACACTACTGTTCAACAAGGGGAAGACTCAGGGCTTGTCTACATGAGGAAAAGCCTGGAATAGCTAGTGCATGCTAGCTACTCTGCATGAACGCCTCATGTGGAGAATCTTATTGTGCACTAAGAGTGCCCTGTCCAATTATTATAAGCTTATACTCTTTAGAAATGTATTAAGTTAAACCACACAAAGCCATTGTTAATGCACAGAAAGTGTCTCCAGACAGGAAGTTCATGAAGAATAGCTACTGGCTCTAAATTCACCCCCTAACCTGATGCTCATTAACTTCCCCACGTAGACAAGCTCTCAGAGTCTTATCAGAGCTTGCTGCACCTTTGGTGGTAGAAGATACTGAAGGACAGTTGGGGGATGCTCCAACTTTTATACCTTTGGAATCCTGTACCAAGAGAAAGGGAAGTAACTTCTGTGATTATTGCTCTCTGGAAGTTCACAGTACAGGCACTTACAATCTTTACAAGCGGTATTATGCAGGAGGGCAAACTGAACTATTTATAGTTCCTATGCAGCATCCAGTTAGCAGTTCCTTGTGTTTTAGCTCCCAATTTAACAAGGTAGTTAAGCAAATGCATAACTCTAAGCAGGGGAGTAGTCCTACTGAAGTCAAGGGGACTACTCACCTGCTTAAAGTTATGCATGTGTTTAACTACCTTGCTGAATCAGGGCCATAACTGCTTATGAAATTTGTTAGTCTCTAAGGTGCCACAAGTACCCCTTTTCTTTTTGCAAATACAGACTAATACGGCTGCTACGCTGAAACCTATGAATTTTGAGTTACAGTATAATAGATTCTGCCAGACTTACTCATGTTAAGTACTTAATGTTAAGCACTTAAGTCCTAGTGGAGCAAATGGGGCTCTTTGAACAGTAAGCATGGCAGAAAATACATCTTACTTTTGCAAATATCCAGTTGAAGTTCATACTTTGGATCTGTCTACACTAAGGAGTTTTAGAAGAAAAATCTGCACTGATGGGAGCCAAAGCATAGACAAGGCTCTGCCATGTATACTTGTAGAGCAGGTTTTTTTATATAAATAAATAAAAGATTCCCCCTATGTTTTCCACTAAGATTCCCTAGTGTAAATGCATCTCTTGAGTTTCAGAGCCACACAATAAGTTATTTGGCATTATAGAAACTTCATTTTTTCCCCCTCAGAGAAAACACAGCAAGCATCTCTTCCCCACAAAATACCTCAGAGAACAGCTTCCTCTTTTTATTGAGCATACAGAACTAATTTCATGCCATTTCCAGTTTACTGGTTGGAGTTACTCATAAAATATGAATTTATTTTCATGGTTTATGAACTTATAATCTAGAAAAACTTAAGCTTCTGCAGAAGATATCCAGTTCAACTTTTAAAATATCAAAGAGGAAGCACATTGTAAATTAATTCACTTAATTATTTACAAAAAGGCATGTATGTAGAACGTTTGTAAGGGAACTAAGTAATGTGTAATTACAAAGCCAAGTTATCATCTCTGACAACTTCCACATTCAAGCTAAAAGTTAGTGATGAGTAAGAAAGAAAAAGATTTTTGTCATTTAACCATGGTGACCTTACCTTAGAAATGATATTTTTCAAATGAATTTACACTAGTCTATTGTATGAAGCAGATCAGTTCTAAATTTTTTCTTTGATTTGCTAGGTGGCCAGTTGTTTGAAGACTAGCTATTATTCATATAGATTACATGTATCAGTCTAACACTACTTTCTACTGGGTCCCCCAAAGCAATACTAAATACAAATTTACACAGTAAATAATGGCTTAAAATAAAATTGTTTAGAAGTAGATTTTAATGTGAATAAGGTATTAATGGGATGCTTTCAGATTCTTTAATTCAACTAGTTAATACAACACTTGCAAAAATAATTGACACATTACAAATGTGAAATTCAGAGATACTTAAAAAGTCTTCGGGTTCTGTCTCAAATTTCTGTAATACATATTGAGCAGTCTTCTGTCCCTCCCCCCAACGTAGACACCAGGGAGAGGGCACACTTTTAATGTAGTACTTGAGAATTTAATTCTGCATGTCCCATTTACATGAATAGTTATTTTACTCAGGACTAAATGTTTCCCTTTAGAATTAGTTTATTTTAAGTTTAATACCACTACAGATATTTAATTCTTCCTCTATTTGAACATAAATTCTTCATGCTGCTTACAACATAAAAAAGTAAACATGGACTCAGTTTTTAATTAAGAAAAACTATTACGCCATCCTTTGTGTAACTCCATTGACTGAAATACAGCTACATTTAGAAGAACATGTCTTATTAAGTATAATGATAATCAATAATCTAGCTCTTTAAAAAAAAACCAACACACAAAAAAACAAACCAACCCAACTTATTTACCTCATCAAGTTCTGTGGTGAGGTTTCCACTACTGCCTGTTGGAAGGTCTGCAATTTGGGCTTTTGGAGCCTTTGGTGTAGGACCTCGCCTACTTGTGATGGCGAAAGCAGCTTTCTGAAGTCTATACAGAGTAATTATTCCTCTGTGCTTGGTGACAGTATGGTGCATCCCATCTCTCTCAGAGTTGGGTCCTATAAGAGGATAAAGTTGACAATCTACTTTAAAATACAGTACCAGAAATGGGTGGCAGTGGTAACAATCTCAACTTGCTTTAGAAAGAAGGGTAAATATCATTTTGTGGATAATGAAAGAGGTGATTTGACTTGCACCAGATCACACCGTGGGTCAGTGAGAGCCAGGAATGGAAGCCACACCTCCCTAATTAGGGTGTGCCTAGTCCACTGAGCTACTCTGGAGAGAAACCACACACTAGTAGTGAGCAAGTAGTTCATAGTAAAATTGAATGTATAATTGCAAGAATTTAAGGAAAGCAGCTCATCAGACCAAAATTATCGTGATGCACACTCACTCCCCCATCTCTGTTTGTAGAGACTCGGAAGAATTTTACCCTGAAATTTAAGATGGGAAATATACTTTCGTTACCCACAGATCTAAAGGAAGAATTAATATAGATGTGGTTAACTAGCATTACTTTTTCAGTTACTTTTCAAGTAGTAGGAGTGGTATTAAAAAGATTAACCAACCACATTTTTAGGTTTCATCAGATATGTGAGTACCATATATGTATGTGTTACGTGGAATTTACTTCAGAAGTATTTTACTTCCAATTCTAAACACACATACAAAAGGACATAAAATGTTAGTCAAGTCACAATAAATTTAATATTTCAAAAATTTTGTTTCTTAAAGTTTAGGATTCAGATTGTTCATCTGAGAGGTAGAGATTTACTTTTCAGCCACAAGAATGGAAAAGCATTAATTTTCAGGACTATATTTGCAGGGTCTGATTTTTTCCGTTAACATCATTACATGTATTTGTGAACATTTAATTTTCAGTTGTCTTATGATTAGACTGCAGAACTACAACATGCAACCACATTAGGTTTATTCTATGTAAAATTGTACTAGCAATATTATTCTAACAGAATAGAAACACATCCCTCATTTCCACATAGCATCACACTTCTGCTCCATGAAACATTTCAATTTAAAAAACCATCCCAGGAGTCCGTTTTTTTGTTGTGTTTTAAAAAGTCTTCCACAGAAAAACTTCCAGAAAATTCACTAAGACCAATTCTTGAGCTACACTGCTATGTTCAAAAAATAAATGTACATAGCTACTAATTTTTCAGACATCTCCTACAGTTCTAACGAGAAGTTAAAACAGCTGATTGATTTTAAATACATAAGTAGAACACTCATGTAGATATCTACTATATAAAAACAACAAATATTTCATTTATGCAATTTTTTTCAAAAAACTGACACAGACTTCGACAATATACCTTTAGAGTTTTCATGGCTGCTTTGAGGTTGTGCAGGACATGCTGCTAAGGGAGTAAGATGTGGGTCCACACAGAGAGAGTTGCAGAGATTTTTTATGATCTTAGAGTTGGGGCATGGAGATCTTGATGTACACTGTTGAAGTAACTTAGCTACGCACAAAGCTGCATAATTTTGTACCAGTATGTTCTCTTCTTTTTTGACAGTTTCCATTAAAGGTTTTATGACAGGATTTAGTTTTTCTGGAAGTTGTTGTAAGCTCACAACAGCACATGCAGCAAAAGTATGGACTCGCAGCTGTAACACTTGCCATTCCTGGTTTGTTTCCGTAACCGTCATTTGGACTTGTTGTCGTTTACTGTCCAATTGTTGTAAAATATTAGGATTTAAATTAAAAGCTGATGTAACTTCATTGAAAACAGTAGTAACCTAATGAAAAGAAAACTAGAGTTAAAACCAATTTGTGCTTATAGCACAACCAGATTTCCTCTAAAAAAGAGGAGGTGGGGTTTGTGCATGATGAAAGAAATACTGGGTTAAAGACACAGGTGATCACACTTTCATTTCAACTTTAACACTGAGTGAAATTCTGGCCCCAGTGAAGCCAATGGGAGCTTTGCTTAAAATGTCTGCCCCCCCCCCTTTTTTTTTTAAATGGGGAATAAAAAGTACTAGCTGGTACCTATGAATTGGGATTCCCACTACACATACACCATGTCAAAATACATTTTACATCCCGATTGAAGCTTTCTGTAGAATATTTAATGTGGCCCAGTTTTTTCTTCTTCTATTTTCTTCTGTTTGACATTTCTTCTCTTCCCCCCACCCCTGACGAGTGCGTTTTACCTTACATCCCTCCAGTAGACTACCTTTCCTTCTCCCTTTCTAAATATCTCCCATCATTAATTTCTTTGTCTCTCCTCACTTTTGTTAATCATTCCATAATTTCTTTCCATTCATGCCCACAGCTCCCTTTGCCCTGCTTTCCCCCAGCTTACTTGCAGGACCCCTCTCCCACTATTCCTCATCTGGGACACAGATAAATGGTTAGAAGGATATCACATAAGTCCTGATTCCAAAGAGTGTTCTTCAGTATCTGCCTAACTCCTGTTAGTCAATTTTGCAGCAAGACCCAGATGACTGGCAAACTGGCAAGTCACTGAAGCTTGGGGGAGAGTCTGGGAATTCCCTATATTTAAGTTGTCCTGTGCCCAGCCAGAAATAGCTAGACATTCTATGGATTACCAGCATGGGGGTCTGAGAAAAAGAGAGACAGGCAAGAAGAGCTGTGCTGTCCAGCATACTGGGGCAAGACGTGCAATGCTACAGAGTCATGTGGAAGTTGAGCTGCTCCTCAGCTGACTTTGTAATAAAAGGATTGCAGTGCTCCTGGAACACTCAAGATCTTTGGATTTGACATGGGCCTTATGTCTGCTGTTCAGCAAATGCTGATTGATCTCACTACCCTGAAACTTGCTCCAGGCACACAGGTGGGTAGAGAGCAAGAGGAAATCTGGTAGGGACACTGCTGCACCTACTCTGTGGTACAGAGCTCATTACTAGATGAAAATACTAACATTGTTAGTAATGAGACAGCATGCACAAGTGTTCACTAAATATTTGTGCTGCATTTGTACAGAAGCAGAATGATAGATTCATATCATGGAGAATGATGCAATACTTTCCTGTTCATTAGTAACTAAGGAGGGTTAGACAACCTCTGCTAGGGATAAGTGTTTTTAAATCATCAGGCCTAGATAACTTGCACCCAAGAGTCGACTGAGGAGATCCGATTGCTGACCTTTATTTTTAATACATCTTGGAATACCAGAAAAATTCCAGAAGCCTGGAAGAGTGCCAATGTGGTGCCAATATTAAAAAAGGGCAAACAAAAAACAGAAGACTCGGGTAGGTACAGGCTAGTTAGCTGGACATTAATCCAGGGAAAAATAATGAACAAGTGGATATGGTATTCAATTGAAAGATTAAGGATGGAAATATAATTAATGCCATTCAACTTTGTTTTATGGAAAAAAAGCCTTGTCAAATGCACCCGATTTCACTCTTTGAGATTACAAGTTTGGTTGATAAAGGTAACAGTGTAGATTTAATATACCTTGATTTAGTATTGCACTACATTCTGAATAAGAAGTTAGCATAACAGAATAATCACTAAAGACACAGGTTAAATGGATTAAGAACTATCTGGTAGGTCTCAAAAAGTAGTTGTCAATGGGAAATCATCATCATATAGACATGTTTCTAATGAGGTTCTTCAGGTATCTGTTTGAGCCTAAAATACTATTCACATTTTTGTCAGTGATCTGGAAGCAACTATAAAATCACTGCTGATAAAATTTGTGGATAATACAATGATCACGCAGTGATAAATAACGAGGACAGGTTAGTCACACAGAGCAAGCCGATCACTTGGTAATCTGCATCCTTTCACAGAGAATGAGTTTTAATACAGCCAAATGCAAAGTTCCTGGATGCATGTCACATCTACAGAATGGGAGACTGTATCCTGGAAAGCAATAATTCTGAAGAGGATTTAGGAGTCATAGTGGACAAGCAACAATATGAGCTCCCCGCATGACACTGTGGCATGATAGTAGGAAAAAGTGTGGGTCAGAGAGATCCTTGACGGTGACCATAGTATTAAGGGCTGAACCAGTCTTTGTAAGTTTATAGATGAAGCCTGAGATCAAGCAGTACCGGCTAGTTTGTCCACTGCACTACTAGATAATCCAGCTCAGAGATACAGAACAGGTCCCATGCTGCTGGATAGCCCTCCAGTGTCATCAGTACCAAGATATTTTTTGCATTGAAGGGGTTGGTACAGAAGTGGCTGGCTGGCCTCAGTGATCATTAAGGAAAAGAAGAGGTGTGTAGTGGGGAGCATTTCTTCCCAGAAGAAGCTTTATTTTGTCCCATCCTCCACCTCATCCTTCTGCTTGTTCACTGGAGAATGGTTACGGGGACCTCAACCTTCTAGACAAGCATGGCTCCTTCAAGGAATGTGATCCGTGCGCCTTCCTCAGCACCAGAGAAGGGGAATCGGTGCCAACTCTCCACAATATCTGGAAGGACACTCCTAAAGGACAGTAAGAAGGAACTGTGGAGAAGCTGGAGCAGCTTCTTCCTTTATACCATCATGTAGAGGGCACATGTACCACCCTGACGGGTTCTGCTAAGGGAAAAATCTCTGGCTTTGGTGCACTGGGTGTGCACACACCTAAGGTGGAATGAACATATGCGATCACAAAGAAAAATTACCCTTCCCAGAAAACCTGGATTTGCATATTTCCTATCAGCCTCAATTAACATTTGACTGCCTAAGTGTTTTTTAAAGCACTGACCTAAAAGGATGTTGATAGCGAATCCAGTAGTTGGGTTTAAAATGGTGCCTCTATAATTCTGTAAGATATATATTTCAATGGAAAAATATCATGCTGCTAATCTTTTGGTTCATCTTCTTCTGTGCACATATAATGAACATCCATTTCTTATCTTATGCCAGAAAAATCAACCATTCAAGTCACAATATATGTACTGACTTCTGAAAAGCATTGCAATTCTTCAGCATTATTATACAGCACATTGAAAATTAGGACTAGAAACTACCTCTTAATTCAGATTTACTCACCAGTTCATTAGCTTGATCTATTGTAAATACACTGTAGTTTACTCTGTTCCCAATGTCAATGTGTGCATCAGCTAGTGATGAAATGAGTTGTTTACATTCATTCTGCATTCGTGTAAAAGGAACAGCAATTTCATCATAATAAAGGTGCTCAGAAAGGACTCCAAGTAAGCGTGGCTGCACAGAAAGGGCTACAGCTTTACATTCCTAAAACAGAACAAGCCAATCAATTCAGATCTTCAAGTGTTCAAACTGGTTATTTTGTTCAATTAAGATGAAGGAACACAACTCAACTTCGCTAATTAGATGTTCCTGAACAAAACATTTAAAGCTTTTAACACAGCAAGACTTAAAAGCGACAAAAATGAAGATGTGCACACAAACTTCCGTATACCATGAAAACAGTTAATGGTCCCAACATTTTATAAAAATTAAGCATTCATCAGTACTGTATTAATGGAAAAGTTTTTCCAAGTAGGTTTAACACCCAATTTTACATGGATGGAGAATAACTTACTAAACAAGAACAAAATCATAACAAAAGGAAAGATGGTATACATTTATGCAGAATACATTGATATTAAAAGAAAGTCAAGTATCCATCTAGAGTGAATACTTGTAGAACCCTTAACACATTCACTGAACGACAGTGTCACCTTTTAGCCAACTTTAAAATAATTCAGTATCATTCTATGCCATTACTTCACCTGTCAGATTTCATCATCATTTAACAGTATAAAAATACAGTATTAGCTTTTTTGTTGTACTTCTATTTCAGACAACAACAGAAAAGGTCATTAATTTAGTAAATCATATTTAATTTTTGCTGTAAAAAGCATCCTACCTTTTGCAAGGCAGCCCACTCACAAATTACTAACGCAACACTAATCCTTTGCAAGGCAGATTTCGAATTCAAATGGAAAAGCAGTAGCTGAGCTAGTGATTCAGCTGGTTTTATTTCTTGAGGAACGGTATTTACACTTGGATCACAAATACAGCAGCAAAGTGCTCCTAACAACCTTGACCAAAGAAGAAAAAAAAAAAAAAGTGTTACAGTAACATTAGTCTCACTCCTTGGTTCATACTTTAAAGACAAAGTTAAATGTCTCAGATAAGTTAGATTTTAGCAAAAATTTTACAAATTAATTTTTAGATTATGTATTGTTTTTGTATTTTTTTTTCATATTTTCCACAAACTGACTTTGCTGCCATCACCCGGGCTCGCATAACAACATAATCCCTGGTTGCCAGATCTTCTGTAATGCTGTCTGCACCAGCAATATACTCCTGTATCACTTCTTTGTTCTGGGTTTGACCTTGACGCAGCTTGCCACCTGCTTTTTCCTATGGAATAAATACAGAAGTAGTAAGAAATCTTGTCTGTTTTGCTTTCCAAAGTTTTCTGTATTTCAGGCAAAAAAACAAAACCCTATGAATTCACATTTCCATATTAAATTATAATTGTTCTATGTAGTGATTTGGAAAACATCCACACCAGATTTTATTGTACATTAGTCCAGGATCTCTGAATAACTGACAGTGACTTTTGAAAGTGCTTAAATCATGGATAGATGACTATGAGCTATTGCTGAGGCCCTGCACTGCTAAATGTGTGGCCTGGTTTGAATATTAACTAACTTAGCTAAGCCAGTGTGCTGCTAGACCTCCAGTTTGAATCTGAGGCCAGAACAAGTGAAGAAGAAAAACACCATATGACAGTTTCTCACAAGTAAAGTAACCCTGAGAAAGCGGATTCAATTCTGCAAAACAGAAGTTGGAGAAATGATACACATAGGTGCTACAGATCAGATATGAAAACATGTTGAAATAAGAAGTATCTAGAACCTTATAAAACAGTAGAGGGTTTACAAGGAGCACAGTACATAGTTTGATCCATCCACAGATAGGTAAGGGTACACTACAGCAGCACAGGAGTAGACACTTCCTACATTGATGTTAGCAACATCAACAAAAACACCCCTTCCATCAACTTACAACTCCTGTAACATCAACACTTTGAGAAGTGGTAGCTAGGTCAACTGAAGACTTCTTCCATCAATCTAACCTCATCTACACCAGGGGTTAGGTTGACCTAACTATAGTGCACTGGGTGCAACATTTTTCACAACCCCGAGTGACAAGTTTTAGGTATAGACCAGGTCTAAAGAGTATTTACTATATGGAGAATCAGAGTATCTGCCAGAGAGGCTCTGAGGCATTTTTGAGTGAACTAATGTTTAAATTTTTCACTAGGAGGGTGGTGAAACACTGGAATGCATTACCTAGGGAGGTGGTAGAATCTCCTTCCTTAGAAGTTTTTAAGGTCAGGCTTGACAAAGCCCTGGCTGGGATGATTTAGTTGGGGATTGTTCCTGCTTTGAGCAGGGGGTTGGACTGGATGGCCTCCTGGGGTCCCTTCCAACCCTGATATTCTATGATTCTATGAAATTACTTTTAGTTAAACAACTTCTATTAATTGCACAATAGGCTTTATTACATACATTTGTATTTGGCCTTGACAAAATTATTTATATAAAGAAGAAAAATTGTGCCATAGCTGTAATATTAGCGTCAAAGCTTACCAAAAGAAACTGTCATTTTAAAGTTCTTATACAGGGCCAAGTTGTGCCATTTAGGTACTGGCTTGTGTCAGGGTGATGCAAAACTGTACTGCTGCAAGTGGAACCCCAGTAGTGACTATATTTCCTTGAATGGCCACATACACAAGTAGTGGGACTGCTCTGCAGGCTGCTGTAGAGATTCATAGTTCCACCTCTATGGTGGTAATGCCCACAGAGTCTTGGGGTCAATAGCACTCTCCTTCCTTTCTACACAGGCCAGTCACAGTTTGCTACAGAATCTCAGTAATCACTCAGTTTCCTTGATTTCCCACACAGGTTTTAAAAATCTTTACCTTTGATCTGGCTTTTACTTCTAGCAACATATTTAAATCAATAGGCAAGTGAGAAGGCTGCATCATTAAGCAGAGCCAGGCTCCCATCCACGGACAAGCCGCTGCTACCACGTATTGTACTGATGCTTTGTTTAACAGTTCCAGCCACACCTTGAGGGAGGAAAAAAAAAAATTTGTGTACATTAGAAATACGTATCATGGCATCTATTCAAACATTTGATGAACATGACGTGCAAGATCTAGGAACAGTTTCACAATGATCATAGTAAAATCAATGTATAGCAGTATAACGCCATGCAATTATGTAGACTGAAGGTCATGCATCTGAAAAAGGGTGGTATATAAAAGATAGCATAGTCATAAGCTAAATAAATACCTTGTGAATAAGATCCAGAATATCTTGGCTGCTTTCTAAAATACAAAACTGAAAAATGTGCCTCAACATATCTTGCAGGATCGGAGTTAGCCAGGCTGAAGAACTCTGAAGACAGGGATATGATAAGTGAGAGAAAATTCCAATATACAAAGTAAATTTAAACATACTATTTTAGGTTCTTGCTATTAAAGCGGCACCCACCTCTACCCAGAGCAGAAGTAGGCCACAAATGTTTTCCACAACTTGTAAGAGTTATCAAGTGACTCAAAGACAATGCAATGCACTTCTGTATTGTGATTGGTAAGTGGTATTATAAGTATTAGTTCTTACCTGGTCTTGGGTAGATAAGAGCGTAAATAAAGTTTCCAACGCTGCTTTTCGAACAGATGATATAGTATGATGCAAGAATGGCCATACACGTGGGACCAAAACGGTGAGTGATTGCTGAATACTGGAACATTTTGAGGGGTGAGGGGGGTGTAAGAGAAAGGAAATTAAAAAAATCTAAGTTCATTTTATTTAAACCCAGGTATAATATTTAGTTAAAAAGGGATGTTTTTGAAAGGAAAAATAGAAAAGTAACACTGTGTATTCCCCAGGCCATGTTAAGTGCAGGATCAAGTTATAGCTCAACTACAATGGTCAAAATAAATGGTTTGAGTTGTGGTTTTTTTTTTTTTTGGTGTTTACTCATGAATGGCAAAATTCAGAAGCTTGTCCAAATTAGTAAGGTCCTACGGTAACTATATGCTTAATTGCTATGGCTTCTTCCGCACTCAAAATAGAGTATGTCCCCCTTCCCCACCTCCACCCCAACAAGCACATACATAGAAATAAGCACATTTCATTTTAAAGGTCAGTCAGAATTTCTTCATCTGTCATGCAGTTAAGCATTAAGGATGCAACTTTTCTTTAGCTAACTCCTTCTGCCTGATAATGAAAATAGTTATTACACATCAACTCATCGGAGATACCACGTTCCATGCAATGGAATGAATTACAAAGTTTCTGCCTTAACTCTGATTTTTCCTGCTTGAGATTTTAATATTGGCACGAACATTGTGAGAATATACTGAAAATGTTGCAATTATAATATCTGAGACTAGAGGTAAGGATGGAAAGCTCTGTAAGGTGGCTCTCTCAAAACAGATTGTTTTCATAATTTATATGAGAACCTTCAACCAACATCTCATTGATGATTCCTCAAAGATTTAATGGCATAATTCTATCTAGAGAAAGGAACTCAAGTGATTTATTGTCTTCACCAAAGCCCCAAGGTGAAATATTTCTTCACTTTATTGTTGTGGAAAAGTTAACTGCTGTAGTCCTAGCTATTGGATAAGCACAAGTAAACTTTTAAAAAGGAAACAAAAATCAGTTACTGCAATAAATCTAAATGAATCAAAAGCCTGTACATGCAAAACAAAGAGGCAAATATTTATTAATAAAACCACTGATTAATCCAAACAAATCTTTTACCAATGCTTTGGTCTTTAAAGGCAGCGATTTACAGCTATTAAAGAGTTATTATTGTCCTCCGAATAAACAGCACGTACACATGATTGTGAGATAGTGAGAGACAGAAGCAGAAGACAATGGAGGAATTGGGAGGAAAAAATTATAAGGAAGGGAAAACAAAACAGGTGGAGGAAGATTAGAGATTGAGAAGGCGATTTTATTTTTAGATATTCAATTTACCTCCTAAGATTAAGGATATAGAGTTGAACCCTCCCATAGGCAAATCTTTTTTCCCCCCACAGAAAAGCTTCATTCAAAAACGGAGATTCATAATGGGTCTGCATCCTTTGTCAATGTAAAAGCCACCACTAAATTGCAATATGCACACTATGCTACAGTGAATTCAAACACCTTGATTGAAGCTGTTTGTTAGTGTGGTAAAATCAAAACTCCCAGAGATCATCATATGGGTCTTCCCCAAAAATTCCACTGAGTTACTGCATATCATGAAAAGCAGATTATATACACCCAAGAAGTGGTACAAAGTACATAATTTCCAGATTCACACCCTGGTATAGCCAAGCTCCTACTAAAAAGGAGTCAAAAGGATAGATGTGTCTCCACTTCTAATTCTGGCATTAATGAACTCGCTGTTTAAATAAGTGAGGGTCAGAGGTTGAGTGAAAACATTAGTTTTCTCGGTCTTGATTTACACTTTTTCTTTTCCTGTTTCAAGTAAAAAAACGTGGCCCTCTACTAATTTACCTGCTGATGTGTGGGAGGCAACAAAGGGAATCAGCAGCAGCATAAGCTACTTGAAAACAGAAGACTGAGAATGCCACTTAGTTTCATCTTTAGAACATTCCCAAAAGTCTCTTTATGAAGTTATGTAAACTAGATTATACCTATATAGTCACATATCAATACATACAAAATAGAGAATTAGGTGAACCCAAACCAACACAGAAGTGTCATAATACATGGCAGTAAAGTCACGTCATGCACTAAATTGTTAATAGTTAAAATTTTACTTGTACAATAAACTGGTTTATTGTGGCTTTTAAAATATCAAAACTACAGTTTTTACCCTTCACGCCCCACCCCAGCCCCCAAAATAGCTAAAACGATTTACTCTAATGGTAATTCAAGGTTCTACATCACAGTGAAATTTCAAAACGTAGGGTCGCTGGAAAGAAAGGAGTTGCAGAATAGCTTGGAAGCCTTAAGTAAAAGATGGATTTGTATTTAATTGTTTTAAAGGGCAGGGGAAGAGACACAAGGACAAGAGCCGTATAATACACAACAAAAAACCAACTCAGACCATCAGCTGGAGAGAAGGGAAAAATCCCAAAGGCTTAGTATTACTTTAAAAAGTCATTATGATGCAACTTGAACCCTTGGATTTAATTCACAGTAGCTTCTCATAGAATCTCTCTACTTTGATTTCCTAAAGAACTTAATTATTTGTTTCTACACTGCAAATAATAAACTATAGGGCTCAATGTGAGACTATTGTAAGTAAAAGCAGCAGTGGTCAGAGCACATCAGCTGTCGAGCCATTATCAAGCGTTCTGTAGCCATCATAACAAAGGAAAATTAAGAAGAGAGCTGAACAAGGATACTAAATTGTCACAGGAAACTCCTTTATGCATATAGGATGGCATGGAAGAACACATGAAGGTGCTTATGAGAAAAATCTGAACAAGTAAAGAAGATTGGCATTTTTGGTGTAAGAGGTGGGCCTCACTAGTGCATAAGTAGTGATTGCTAGGGCAGGACTAGACCAAAAAGAAACATATAAAGGTGAACCCGAGTAGTGTATTTGATGCAGTAAAAATGGGCAAGCTAGGAGGGGGGTGCTAAGGGTGGATGGTGACATGGCCAGAGCTACAAGTCCAGATAAATACATTCAAAACACTGCTGCGAAGATTAAAAGGGTGGAAGATAAACATTTGGGAAGAACAGAGAGGCAGCGACAAGCCGCGATGTAGTGTATGCCCCACACTGGCACAGAAGGCCACCAATCACAGAAGGGCTTATAGGAGCAGCCAATCAGGCCCATATAAGAAGAGCTGCAGTACCCAGCAGCTTTAGTCACTCCCTGGAGCTTGAAGGGGGAGAAGGACTGGCTGCCTTGAAGGCGGAGGGCAGCACACACCCTGGACATAGTAGTGCTACAGGAAGAGACTCAGGGAGCTAAAGGCAGCTCCTGGCAGGCTGCAGGGATTTGCAGGCTAAGGCCCTGAGGCAAGGGCAAACAGGGTGCTGGGGCCACGGGGAAGTGGCCCAGGGAGCTCTACAGAGGAGTTGGAGGGGAAGCAGCAAGTGGTGGCCACCCACAGGGTCCCTGGGCTGGGACCCAGAGTAGTGGGCAGGCCCAGGTCCCCCTGGTCCCCACTTGCCACTAAGAAAGTGGCTGGACTGAGGAACTGTGATACTGTCCCCCAGAAGGGGGAACACCAAGTGTGGCACAGCCAGAGGGCTGCGTCATGAAGAGGACACCGCAGTCCTGGGAATGACGTGGGTCCCTGGAGCAGAAGTGACAGTGGCGAATCACCACCAGAAGAGAGTACACTGGTGTACAGCTCTAGTCCCCAGGACAGCCAGCAGGAGGCGCCGCAGTGATGGACCGAACCCCATCACACAAGCCCAGACACTAGATGAGAGTCACATTGTGTGAATGGACCATAAAGGCTGGCTCTGAAAGCCTTGTCTACATGAAGGACATCAATCAGCATAGCTATTCCAGAATAACTTCCATGTGCTGACATTATACTGGAATAATGTCACATATTTCAGACTAGTGTCCAGAGAGCAATTCCAAAAATAACTAAATTATACCTGAAGAACTCCTGCAGAATGGCTGAGCTGTAGCTCACAAAAGCTCATGCTCAAATAAATTGGTTAGTCTCTAAGGTGCCACAAGTACTCCTTTTCTTTTTGCGAATACAGACTAACACGGCTGTTACTCTGAAATTCCAGAATAGCCATGCTACTCAATTCCTCACTGTAGGCAAACAGTTAGAAGCAATATTTAGACACGGTCTGAATGCAGCAGTCTAGAAATGGCCCAAAGACAACACCCAGATTGAGTGACACGGAGAATGGTGGTGTTGTTCACAGTGACCAAGAAAGCGATGAGAGGGAAGGTTTTGGGGACAAAAATTAAGAGCCTGATATCTCTTTCAATTTCATCTTTTTTTTCAGCTGACAGCATTTTAAAGCAGTATTTTTACCTCTTCCCCCCTCCACCCCATGCTCCCCCCAGCTGTTAAAAAGGGCTATGACAGTATAACTAAATAAATTTGAGGTCGTGGTTTTTTTGGTCTTCACTATTAAATAATGGACTAGAGTTTTAAAAAAAATGAATCTCCCTGATGTATGAGTAGGGATGACAAAAATATAGTGAGATGGTCTCAACCTTTACAAAGGGATACACTGGTAACATTTAATCAGGTAGACAAGACAATTCGAGGAGACAGATAAAAGAAAAAAAAATAAATGGAGAAAAAAGAGGACAAGCGTAAATTAAAAGTCTGCTTAAGTTTTAAGTGCAAGTTTTAGAATACAGAGTCAGGGTTTTTTTTGTTTTTTTTTGGGGGGGGGGGGGAATTTGGTTTACTGAGTAGAAGCCAACATGGATTTGTCCAGTTTCTTCTATTTACTTGGTTCCTTGCATCAGTGATACAGCCAGTGGTTCTGTGAATAAGATAGATTTATTCCTTTGCATTTTGCTAGGGGTCTGACCCCGAAGCCCTTGGGTGTGTGTTGCATAGGTGTAACTCTCCCATTATAGTCAACAGGGTTTGTTTATATGAAGTCTGCAGAATGGGGCAGTTTAGTGCAGGATAACAGCTCCCACTTAGCACAACAGAAATAATTAAGGGTCATGCATAAGTAGTGGCTATTGCTTTTTAACCTTTAATTTCTTAACAAAGAGTGGTGCTAAATCTAGTGACAAAGTGTGTTAAATTTTGGTTCTAGATTATTAGTGTGTCCTAAAACAGAAAGTGCACTGCCCTTTAACAGCCTTCGACCAACTTACAAAATTTGTCCTCAAAATTTATACCAGCATCCATTTACTGCAGAAAGATACCTTCCCAATATTATTATGCATTATCTCCTCCATATACAGTGTAATTTGCTATAAATTTAGATTATTCCAATATGAACTGCTTCAGTAACAAATGCTTAGATCTGTCTCCTAAGTAGTAGCTGGAAAGAGGTACCTGCATTTTTGGACCTGAGGATAAGTTAGAAGGGAGGAAAGAAGGATCATGATGCTGTTTGTAGAAGCCGTCAGATCATCCAATTCCAGAAGAGCATCCCACAGTGTATTAAGAATAAAGGGCACCTAGAGGAATAAGCACAAGGGGAGAAGTTATCTTACAAAGAGAGAGAAAAGTCAGTCAGTCTTCTATATAACAAAATAATTAAAAATTTGTGTACTGCACTATAAACATTGCTTTCTTGTTCAGCTCCAAGATGAACTTTTTGAAGTCAAAATGTAGAAAATAAGCCATTCACCTTTTGTGACTGAAGATGAACAAGGCTTTCCACTACCGGTACTAAAGATGCTGCAGCAACAGCTCGGACATCGTCATCCAGGTCTTGGAGACCTTCAATTATTGCAGGCAAGACTTTAGGCAATAAAGTATTAATCGTATCCTAAAAAACAAGTTTAATTCATAAATTGAATGAGGAAACGTTTGTTTAACTGAATATCTTTTCCACAATCTCAGAGTCCTCTTCTTTCTCTTTTAAAAAAGAGAACAAGCAAAAAAACCCAGACAACCACCTCCCCCCTGCAGTTTGGTCAGAAACAGAAATAGCAACCATTCTGAATAGTTAAAAAGTTACCATTCATGAAAGAAAGCTAATCTATCTTATAAATTGACTGAATTTGTCCTACAAATATGCCTCAGCCAGAACCTTCAGTACACTTTCGTTATTCCACTGTTAGAACCTCTAAACGGCAGTCTTCAGTTGTACCAAGCCATGGTGTTTTACCACGGGGGGGGGGGGGGGGAGAGGAGGAGGAAGTCACCACAGGATATGGTTTCATTTAATATGCCATACATTTTAAACATGTGCTTCTTGAAAACAAATGACAGCATCAAATTCATGTATCACCCTCTAGTCTCTTCACTTCTGTTTCTGGAGTTTTACAATAAGTCTCTGTGAAAGGAAATTTTTTGTAGCGTTAGCTACTTTGAATAGGAAAAACACAACAAACAGGTGATTGATTACCTGACGAATTGCCAACGCATACTTTATTCCTAGCAGACCGCCATGTCTCACTTCCCATTGGTCTTGTGTGAGCAACTTCAGGAGAATATCCACAGTTTTATGAACTCCAGTCTCATTCATATGTTTCAATACTACTCCCAAAGTCTGAGCACAAGTCTCACGTACTGGTGCTACAACCTAGGACATAGTGAATGATGGACATAAATCAAAGCATTTCTACATGAAGTCTGACATGGAAATAGATTAGCAAGTCTAAGAAGTGACACTTACTTCATCTGAAACAAAGTCTCCGAATCTGTCTAATGCAAACACACAAAGGAGTCTAATAACTAAGTCTTCCAGCCATTCCTGATGCTGCTGAGCCATCTGTTAAAGGAAATTAAATACCATTTGCTAAATTAGTTCATAGAAAGATTCTCAAGATTCCTTTTCTTCACCATACTGAGAAGATTGTATCACAGTAGTTAAACTTGTGACTAATTGTGTATCTGCATTACAAGCAGATTTCCCGCCCCAATCACCTAATTCTCCAGTAGTGAAATTAATCCACTGCATGGAGGGGCAGCACAAGGTCACAAGCACCACTTAAGCCTTGCACAACTTCTGTGCAGCGGGACTACAAGTGGAGCCACTGTGCAAATGTGCGTGTGCTGAGGAAAGGGTCTCCACATGGACCCCAAATGGGTCACGAAGGCCTGCCACAGCATACATGATGAATCGCTATGGTTCCAATATCTACAACTGGGCATAGGGCAGTCTTGGACTCTCAACCTGGGTTTGGAAAGAGGCTGGCTTCACTTCATCAGTACCTCCGTGCTCTACTCATAGGACACTTGAACATCCAGGCTTTTATGGGACTGAACCATATATGAAGGGTTAAGTGGTCAAATCAAAAATTACTTTTCGGGGGTGGAAGAAGAACCCAACAGAATTTAGGAAATTTTCCCTTATCCAAATAAGAGGCGAACTACTTGGAAATTTCTGCCTCACTTTTAGAACAACTGGAAACATCAGCAAAGATGCACTGATTTTAAACTGAACAAATACTACTTGGGCAATACAAGCACACTGCAGATATTAAACAATCTTTTCCTCCTCTGCATTGGTCAAGGTGGGCAAATTGTGACACTATGCAGATGTTAAAAAAGAAAAGCTGTAACAGTTTTATGCACTCATCTAGTTACTAGGTCCAGTTTTGTTACTATATACCCATCTCTAATGTGTATTAATACTTCTAAATATTATTAAAATTTTAGAAAATCTTCTTAAGACTCACAAACACTAAATAATGCCCATTCCCTACTATACAAGTCAGTTACTGAACCTTGTAATAGTTGTTTGAACACATTTACAAACAGAAGTCTAAAATAAACCAAGTATTGTTTTATTCTAGGAAAAGAGATAGAATGAAAGCAACCAATTTCTGCTAAGCCCTGCTCTAGTTAAGGTATCCTCCCATCTCTATTTAGACTAAGCAGTAAGTTAAGTTCACTAGGATCTAGAGACTGAACACTATACAAATGCTAAAAGACATTACCAAAGTCACCTTCACCTCAAAAGCCCCCTTGAATTATTAGCTCTCCACCACTTCCCCCAAAAGTTATTTTAATATTCATGAAATTTATGTAGTTTTATTTCTATACTTGTTATTTACTTTATTCTTCCCAGTTCTGCCAATGAATTGCAATCTCCATAGGACAAGTGCATTTTCAAACAATAAAAGAACTAAAGGCTATACAATTTAAAATACCTTCAATGGCTAAATATTTAGGTTCATGTTCTCCCATCCTTATTCACAGAGGATTCTGCAAAAAGTTCCAGTGGGGCAAATACATCCTTGCATGGATGCAAAAAGGAGAGATGGCAGCTTGTACCTCTCTGCCCACCTCACTCCTTCATCCCCGGGTAATGGGCTCCCAGTGCTGGGTAGGGCAGCCCAACTTCCATATCTATGGCAATGGCCTTTCTGGGCCACTGCAAAGGTGCAGAATTGCTGGGCTGTAAAAGTATGTCTCTCACATGCGCCCTCACCCCAAGGGAAAAAAACAAGAACTAAAAACCCTGAACATCCTCTACACCATGGGCTCTTACAGACCTGACTACTTTCCACTTGCTCTGCAATTGGGATGAGGCATTTATGCCTTCCTTAAAGTCCCTTTTGCAACAGCCAACTCAAGAGGATTGTACAACAACTATGTGAAGAAGTACAACAACTATGTGAAGAAGGGTGGCAGAAGTTAGCAGGTATTTCCAAAAAACTTACTATGGGCTACTATATCAATAGCACACTCAAGTGCTCTTTTTAAATAAATGGGGACTGTCTTCTAAATACGTCTTCCTGGTTTAGTAGTCCAAAGCAAGCCAATGGCATCAGCTTTCCTATTAGAAAGCATTATACAACTTGCTTTATAATCTAAAAGCCATTTTAGCTAAATTAGGTTTATTAAATTAGCCAAACTATTTTATGCTGCAGAATTTGCCTTGTCATAACTTTGGAACATATTGATTCCGATACTTGCTAATGGCAAAGCTGATTCTTGAAATCCAAGTTTGCACTCAATTGTCAATGCAGAGGCTCTTTGTTCAAGTTTTTTTTTTTTTTTTTTAAAAGGTGATTTACATTCTGTCATTAGATTTCACCTTTTACAGCCACTCCCACACTCCTAAATTGCCTCTATCATCTGTGTATCCCAATTTTAGTATTTGCAGAGAAGAGTTCTACAGGTTGCAAAAGAAGCCACACTTAAATATTGCTTGGTCTCTCTTTCAATAAGCTGATCATCAATCACAGACTTCTAATTTTACCTCTTCTACAGTACTGTCTCCCATTTTGCCACCACTTTTCCCGTGTGCTTTAAGTATTTCCCTCAGCGCAGTGCCTGCACCATGCCGAACCTAAAACGTGCAAGAGGGGGGAATAAAAACAGACCTATTACTTTTACTATCTACAAATGCTCAGTATCAATTGAAGAAGTCGGAAAATGTTCAAACAATATAAACTGCTTTTCCTTCCAGTAACAAGTTCTGAATGCTTCAGATCTGGTGACATTTTATAACATTTACACATACGTAGGAAGTTTCTGGTCAAAGGTGATGGAAATCAGTAATAAGATTTCCCTGATCTTCCCAAGAAGTCTTCAGCGTTTCTCTAAAGGCTGATTATGGAGAAGGATGTCATTTTTATTAGGTTTTATTTTTTTGTGTTATGAGTGCCAGATAGTTCTCAGTAGAGGTTCCTTCAGAGACATATAGAGTTATTATACCAAAACTCCTTTACCGATGCTGTATGAAGTTTTAAGAGAGTGACTGCACAAAATCTTCCTAACCATATCAAGGGATTGCAATATTTCTTAGTAGATTAAGAGCAGCAAGCATGTGGGTTACTTATATGTAATTATGTTTATCCTAAGATATCATTATATAGGACTCGGGCTCTTAGATGACTGCATAATAGTCAAGACAGATCTTCCCTCCACCTCCACAAACATTCCAATCTTAATTATCACTGCCTTAGCATCCACTAGACCTCTCTCAGTCAGTTCCTAAATGCACATGCAGCAATAGCTCCTTTACAAATACCAACTACAAAAAACACAAAAAAGTGAATTTTCTACACGACAACCATGAGGGCAGACAATCTAAACTTTGAAAAACACCACACCATCCAGCAACCAAACTTCATGGGGTGGTAGATGGGTGAAATAGTGTGTGTGGATATCAAAGAAACAGAATTTTAGGCAAACAATTTTTCCTTCTAAAGTGCAGGAATACCTCTTTGAGTGTAAACATTTGAGGGACATTTCTCAGAGCCAGAAGGAGACATTCTGAAAGTTTTTACTGTTAAACAATGAGGCAGAATACAGAGCCACACAAGTCATCCCTTAGAATAGCAAATTATAGGTGAGAGTTAGGGGCTACCACCAATCTGAAATACAGGCATTAGACATCAAAATCCAGAACCAAAGAATCTTTCATTAACACTAAAACCAAGTATTAGCACCAGTACAGTAGGCTATGTGAGCTCTAAGCATGACCAGTGGTGGAGACAGAGCCATGGATCTAAAAACAACAATATTAATAATAAATAAAATAATAAAAAAAAGTCCTGCTCCCCAGGGAATCAATTCACTGGTGGTGGCTTGAAACAATCAGTCTTCTAGGTTCTGATGGTCTTCATGATTCTATTAACCAAAGCAAGAACCAATGGAGACCCAAATCCCTCAAAAATGCTCTGAGAACTCAGTATGTGACCATATAAACGATTCACTGTGACTCCATTTGTACATGCATATCAGCTTCCATAGCAGAGTACAAAGTTAAGGAGTTATATCAAACAGCTGTATTAAGGAGCAGAGGTATTAAGATTTACCTTTCAGGTAAATCAGAATAAAATATTTCCTCAGTGGTCTGGGAAGCCATTCAGCCCTAAATTATCTGAGGTTACATGAAAGGCAGGGTGAAGAAGTCCTAAGCCTTCCATTTCAATCCTAATGTAGAGATGCTGAATGCACCAAAGTGTATATTTCTATATAGAGCGAAAAGACAAGGTATTGAGGCAGAGACTACACTAACCATTTTTAAATCTATAGTTTCATTACTGAAAATATTTTGAAAGTTATAACCAAGTAATTATTAGGATGTTTTTGTCCCATATACAAATTAGTCTCTCCGTGAGAATGAATAAATATATATATATATATATATATGACATGACAATCTGGAGTCAACCTCTGGAAAGATCTGCCCACCTTCAAAAAGATATGGAAGTATCGGTGTAGATTTTTCCTCCCCAGCTATATGTCCAAGGAGAAAACACCTGAATAGATTTCAGACAGTCAATTCAGAAAGTGTGTGGGGGGAAGGAGGAGGGGGAGAGAAGAAGAGAAGAGAGAGACTATTGCCTTCCCTTAGGTCTCCTCTGTTCTTTCAGCAATAAGATAAAACACAGGATCACTTCCACCAGCAAACTAGAAGCTACCACAAAACAAAAATGAAGTCCAGTTTTTGCCGACTAGAAAGGGGAACGAAAAATGTATCTTTATATGTACATTTTATAATATTCTACATAGGTGTGATACAAAAACCTAGATTAGATTGCTTATAGGAGTCAGACTGAAAGGTGCATTAGCAGAAAGCTTTAGTTCACCTTTAATATGCCTGGAGGATGTATGAATGGAGATGGCTTTGTAATTTACTAAGTGAAACACCCTGTTTTGAGTTGCTCACTAAAGTAGATGCAGGCTTGTTTCCTCTAGTGCAGTCTACCTCAATGGCTATCTTGAACCGAGGGGACAGACACTGAGGTGGTGGCTTTTTTATTTATTTATTTTATTTTTTTATTACTCTATAGAACAATGAGAATGTTTGACTTGTAGGAAGTGCAGTCATAGGTAAGTGCATTGTACCACTTTAATCAATATTTTCTCACTAAAATAAAACATAACAAGGTATAGTGATTTTGACTCCAAAAAGGGAGATGCACTCTACTTGAGAGCTCATTAAATAAGAGATTTGTAAGAGGCGGTGGGGGAGGAGAAGAATGCAAGGATTTTCTGCAACTGCATGTTATCCCAAAGGTTAAGTGTCTTGTATGTGGTCAAAACATTATCTTGCTCTATTTGTCATGCCATTCCACACATTTTGCAGTCTTAGACTCCACACCACCATATAAAACGTATGCAGCATCACACCAATTATTTGCCCTCATGACTATAGGCATGGTTATATAGTAGTGCTGATAAACTCATGTAGCTCTTCCTTTACAAGTCTTGATGTTTAAGGTTTAACAGAATGGTCTTAAAACATACTCTCTGAACTAAGTTATGAAGTCTGTCTGTTACAGAGTGACAATCATATTAGTTTTGTTTAAAGTTGTTTGGGGTTTTTTTTTGGACCCACTAACAAACAAAGGCTTTTAAAAATTAAATATTGCTGGCAATTTGTTCTCAGTGTGGATGCAGATCCTATGGATTCCAGTGAAGAAAGCCACCACATACTGTTTAATTAGTGTGACATCAATAAATTATGGAAATTCAAAGACATGCAATCCAGATGCTTTTCAAGAGCAGTTGCTCTTGAGTAAAACCTTATAGGGGATAGATCTGAAAGTCAGATCACATTCAGAATTTGCTTTTTAAAATTGTGTATTACAAAAGATAGTCACTGAACTGTTTAGGTGACTACATACAGAACTTCATTCTTATGAATTAAGACATTACCGAATGCCTCTCCAGAAAGTTGCCCTGGAGTCTGCATTTAGTTATTCTGAGTAAAAACAGATGTTATTTAAAGAAACAAAGCTTACCTAAAAAATATTTAGGCCATCCCACATCAGGGAAAACTAGCACAGACATCTACACCTGTGCCAAGTCCCATTCACTTCAGTGGAACTCAAGGATCCACTATCAGACCTCTGGGCATCTGTGTTGAGTCCTAGTGGAGTAAATGGAACGCAGCACAAGTGCAGAGAACTGCACTTGTAGTCCCTGATGTAGGATCATAGCATAAGCATGAAATGTAAATACAAGTCCCAATTTCTAATGGCATCAATTTCTTATTTGTACAAATTAGATATAAGGTGGCTATGCATAATTCTTACCTCCCAGGATGGGTTAAAAAGATCATTGCATACTTCTTCACAAAAGCTTTCTAAAGGCCATTCATTTGCCTAAAAACAAACAAAAATACCCAATCAACAAGAGAGACTATCTGAAGTTAATGATTAGGGAAATTTAGAGTTCCATGTCAAACAGACATACAAACACAAGATGCATCACCACTAGTTTATCCAATAAATAAAAAAAATTACTTTGACTTTAGTGTTTTCTCCCACTATGGCTTGTCTACACAGCAAGTTAGTTGCACAGCAAGCCAGGGTACACGAGGTCTGTTTTCCCATATGCTATTTCTCACATCCAAATACAGCTACTCTACAATTTTCCAAGCTTCAGTCTCTTTCCATAATTGTGGATTTCTTCAAAAAGTCTTGGTGATACTGTTTAATTCTGCAGTTATAAACTAGAAATTTTAGTCTAAATTAGGTCTGATTAAAAAGGTTCCCTTAATCTTTGTCTCTTATCAGCATTTTCAGAACAAACTATTTATGGGTCACAATGATCTTTTATTACCTTTTACCTGCTCTAGCCTAGCTTTACAATTTAACACCCTAAAGGCACCTAAATTTAAGACTACAACCACCAGCAGTGTTAATCTGCCTACTGAATAAGAAGTCAGATGGTTCTCAAGTGAAGTTCACGGAAGTCACAGACTACCACTAGTCAATTAACAGTGATCTCTCAACCTCACATGCAGTGTCAGAAAAAAACACTCTGCTCTCGTAGCTGTAGATGAGTTGTAAGTGAAATTCCCTCCTCTTCTGGTTTTGGTAAATTCACGGTAAAATGAACAGAAGAATTTGGGAGCACAAAGTAGTTTAAAAATAAACAACATTGACCCACATCACCAAGTTATCAATCCCTTAATAAAAGGGGACATATTGTACCTCTTCTGGTGCATTGTCTACCAAAACTTTTGAGTCAGTGGCAGGCTGGTTGATGACAACATTTGCTATTTTTCTGCGCTTTTCTTCTGGTTCCCCATCAGTGCTATCATTGCTAAAAAAGGAAGTTAAAATATGTCATGTTTGTGAATAGAAACATTATGCATTGTAACAGGAGTAATCACTTCCCTTGAGAGTGTCTTGAAAACATTCCTATCAAATTTTTATTTATGTTCATTCTTTACATGACTTCAGTAGCAAAAGGAAGTCTCTCTTCTTAACTAAGCAATATAAGCTGTTAGCTACCAAGTTACATTTAGCTGCTAAATATGTTGGAATGTATTCCTTGTATATAACAGTTACCATGAGCTTTATTATTCAGTGATCTACCTAGTGAGAGATAGGAGACAAGAATACTCAGTGCCACCCCACTTTCCAACCTCTCCCAGCTATTTGAAGAGGGAAATGCAAGATGAAGAATTTTCAAACAATGTCTAGAAGAAACTCATTTTATTATTTTTTTTTTAAATTAACGTAACAGTAGTGGACAATTCCATTGGTACAAATCACTGAGAGGAAAACATACTATAAGTATGTTGGAGAAATAAACACAGATTGAGAAAATTTACCCTCTACTGATCTTCATAAATCCATGATTTTAATTCAGTACCATCAAGTCCTTAATAACCACCATGAATGTCAGATGCAATATATTACATTATATACAGAAAGGTTCCCAGATAAAGGTTAACTAGAGACCTGGATTCATTGTGGTTATTAAAGTAAAGCACAAAACAACAAAATTCTTATAACTAATGTTTTACTGTTAGGGCTATTGGCAGTGACCACTTGAAAGACAGTTATGTTTCACTGGAGAGATTCATCACAATTCTAGGATGGTTAGAAAGGTACCTGACGTCTAGCCTGTTTTTCTATATGGCAACTGAATTTATGATTAAGGTTGCTGTTTATCCTATCCTATCCCTGTTGCTACTGTATTCTGACAGAAACTGCCTTTTGAGGACAACAGTACATCTATATTATGCAGCAATAAAGAATGGTGTATGAATAGTTTATATATTTACTGGAATTATTGAAAGGTGGAACCAAGATTCATTGAAGAGTTCTCAGACCCAAGCCAGAATGGGAATTTCTGAGCTGGCCCGATAACCTACTATGTTACCAGAAAACAAACAAGAAAGCAATTGCTGCAGTACCTTTTCTCATTAGTCTCTACTGCATCCCTGGATCTTTGCTTTGCAAATAGCTTAGCCATCCTTTTAGCTTTATTCTTTTGTCTACTGCTCATACCAGCTCGAAATTCTGAATCAATCAACTCAGCAGCCTGAAGAGTCTAAAAAAATAAGAATCCATTCAATGTCAATCCTGCCTGTATCTAAAGTTCACCCCTCCCCCACCCCAAGGGCAAACAAAAACAAAAAACACCCTCTTGTTCTCACTTCCTCATAGCACCCATGTTACTTGAAACCCAGAGCAGTAGTTTGGCACTGTACTAAATGTGATTAATGTGCAATGTATGAAATTTAAGTGTTCGAAAGACAGAGCAAAATTATAAGTCCAACTTAGTATTTAAAATGTAATGATTTACAATGGCAGAAGCACAAATGAAGCAAACCCACTGTATTATTCCTTGCAGTCAAACAGCCCGAGGTTTTACCTACAGGTTGTTTGTTTACAAGTGAAGCTGAAGTAGGAGTATAGTCCAAATCCTCATCATTGAACAGGTCTTCAGTGTTCATTCCAATTGCAGCTCCCATATCAAGTCCAAGTTTCTTTTGTAACAGTTTCCTTTGTCGTGCTATCCTCTCTTTAGGATCAACTTCACCTAAAAAAGGTCAGCTTTTATACTTCATTTCAAAACACAAATGTCCAACAGATTTACTGCTGAAGACTTGATAAAAATTACAGTAAAACTAAAATATTCTAATTTATGAGAACAAAACAGAGATCAACTGTACTTTTTTACTTATATATACACACACACAAAAATGCCACAGAAACTTTAAAGCTTTGTAAAATTTCTTTTAACCCAAAATATACTGACCCTTATAAAGATCTGTTTTTGTAACCATATAGCTACCTAATTAAAGTGGCATTAGCTTTCACTAGAAAAGTTCTGGAATACTTTTAAACAGCTTCCATGAGACTCACTGAACTGCATTATATGCATGGGATTTTAAAATAACATTTTTCTGAATTTTGTGGAAAAGCACTTTGGAGGAAGGGAACAAGCAGTTACCATATTGCACAGAGGACTCTGTCAATAACTGGAGCCTTGCTAAATAAAAAAAATTAAATATTGTTATTTTGCACATGCACCTATTTTTATGGAAAGAGTTTTCCCCAAAGAGAAACAAAAAGGCCTGGCAAAAATGCAGAGAATGAGACATTTCTAATATCCCTGAGTTAAGATGACTCAGAGACCCATACATAGTATGTGAACATCTTTACTTCCCTGTTGGAAGCCCGAAAGCCAAGTTTCTCTGGATAGTTTAAAAATACCTAACAAAAACAAAAAAACCCCAACCACTGTATCCAAGCCTCTTCTATACTAGTTCCCCCCAAACTAATGTCTTCTGATAGAGAGCTGGATTGTGTAGGAGGGGAAAATGGTTTTATGGTTGGGTTTGGAACTGGGGTCTGCTCAGAATCTAGTCTCAGTTTTGCCACAAACTTCATGTGTTAAGTTGTGCAAGTCTCATCTGTAAAGTGAGGATAATGGTATTTGCCTACCTCTCAAGAAACTTGCAAAGCTTAATTAAAGCTTGTGAAGTGCTTAGCAACTAGATATCAGGACAGTTAGGCACTTCAAGATTACATACAAATGAAAGGATTTCAATTAATTGAACAAGGCCACAAGCTACATATAAGCCTAGAAATCTAGTGGGTAAACTTTGGTTTCCGTATCCTATATCTACAAATTCCTAGAATGAGCAATCTGAAGTGGTGTCATCTACCTTTGGTTTTTGCCACTGCTGCCCTCACAACTAGGGATGGACAAGTGCCAGCTGAAGACAGTAAGCAGAAAGGAAGTGACTTATCAAGTGCTGAGATCAGGCCCTACACACCCTTTCAATGTCAATTTAACACTGAGTCAGGTGGCTCATATTGCCAGGACCTTTGGGGAAATTATATCCATGCCCATAATCCTGTAAATTCATACATTTAAACATGTGATTACAAAAGCCAACAAAATAAAAAGAGAAAGTCAAACAGTTGCCACTACCTAGAATAGTCCATTTTCCTTGTCCTGAACCATCTTGAAGGTATACAGTGACTCTGCCAAGACTACAGACCCATTATTTATGTTTGTCCAACAAGAGCATAATGTTTGATGTACTTTTACACATTAATTCACAGAATATTTTCATAACATAGAATCACAGCAGAGTAGGACTGGAAGGGACCTTGAAAATTCATCTAGTCCAGTCCCTTGCACTCAAGGCAGGACTATGTATTAACTAGACTGTTTCTGACAGGTGTTTGTCTAACCTGTTCTTAAAAACCTCCAATGATGGAGATTCTACAACCTCCCTAGGAAATTTGTTCCAGTGCTTAACTACCCTCAGTTAGGGAGTTTTTCCTTAATGTCCAACCTTAACCCCTTGCTGCAATTTAAGCCCATTGTTTCTTGTCCTATCCTCAGAGGTTAACAAAACCATTTGCCATCCTCCTCTTTGTAACAACCTTTTAAGTACTTGAAAACTGTTATGCCCCCGCCCCCCAGTCTTCTCTTTTCTAGATTAAAGAGACCCAATTTTTTTCAGTCTTTCCGCACAGGTGATTTTTCTCGCCCTTTAATCTTTTTTGTTGCTCCCCTCTGGAATAACTCCAATTTGGACACATCTTTCCTGAAATGTGGCACCCAGAAATGTACACAATACTCCAGCTGAGACCTTATCAGCATGGAGCAGAGTGGAAGAATTACTTCTCATGTCTTGCTTACAACACTCCTGTTAGTACATCCAGGAATTATGTTTGCTTTTTTTGCAACATCATTACAACGCTGATTCATTTAGTCTGATCTGATCCACTATAACCCCCAGATCCTGTTCTGCAGTACTCCCCCTAGGCAGTCATTTCTTATTTTGCATGTGTACAACTGATTGTTCCTTCCTAAGTGGAGTACTTTGCATTTGTCCTTATTGAATTTCATCCTGTTTACTTCAGACCATTTCTTCAGTTTGGAGGATATGATTACAATTCAAAATGATCTGGACAAAGCACTTGCAGCCCCTCCCAGCTTGGTATTGGCTGCAAGCTTTATAAGTGTACTCTCTAGGCCATTATCTAAATCATGTATGAAGATATTGAACAGAACCAATCCTTGGTTTATGTTGTAGATAAACATAGCAGATAGCTGAGAACCCTATGTAAATTAATCCACTAAAAAGAAAAGGAAAAAAACAACCCATCAGATTCAAAGCTACAATTCACTTTCATTTGCAAGATTAACAACATTCACCATATACTGTACATAATTTTTTCATTAAAATGGGTGCTCAATTACTTCAAAACAACTCATTCAGACACCTATATTTTTCTAAGAATGGGTACTCTGTAAATACCTGACATCTATTTTTTAGAAATCATTGTTTAATAGAGGGAATAAAGAGGCATATTTTATCAGAAATCCAGATGCTCTATAAATTTCTTACGAGCCTAAGATCAATGAAGATCAGACAAACAGACACAATGAGGAAGCAGCAAAGTTGATGGATAGGTTACTGGCCTAGAAATGAGGAGTCTTGGGTTCTATATCCAGCTCAACCACACTGACTTGCTGTGTGACCAGGACAGGATAGATCTGCACTAACGGGAAGAATCAGGGTTGTGCGGTGAATTAGGGTATTGTCTGTAGGACCCACTCCACCCCATCTCACTTGGAGAAAGGTGTATAGATAATGAGGCAAGGAACTGCAAGGAGAGAGGGGATGTTCTTATGCTTGAAGAAGGGGAATGCTACCCTAGAGAACTGGATGTTATGCTTCTCTCTGACACAGAATTCCTAGAAAATGCTGGACAAGTCATTGAAGCCAAATGTTTCACAAGTGGATACTAATTGTTTCTTCCTTATTTTCCTGAAAGTCCAACCTGAGGCCCAGAGTCTGACTTGCAAAGTATTGAGCACTTGCAAAGAGAAAGCAACATCAATGAAAGCTATGCTTTAAAGTGCTGTAAAGATGCTCAGTTTTCTGAAAAATTAGGTCCTTGGCATCTCAAGTTGGTCACCCAATATTACTGGATACTTGACAATTTTGGCCTTAATCTCTGGCCATTTGTAAAAAGTGGATAATTACTCAGATGCTAAAGTGATAAGCACCATAAAAGCTGTCCTGAAGAAGTTAATAATTCTTTATTCAGTGCAGGGTTTAGAAGGCATGTAGCAAAACAAGGCTGGGGTCACACACTGAAGGAGTATAAAAAGAAACAGTGGACAGCTGCTCATTCAGTGAGTACTCTCTCTCCTGTACATTGAATGAAGTCGAGGACCTGGGGAAAAAGTACTAAGTGATCATGTAGATAAAAACTTTATAATACTGCATATGCACTTATAAGTATTATAAGGGGTCAAATTAAGTGTGCATAAGCAACTTTAATTCTGGTATTTCATAACTTTTGAGTGCTTGACTTCTCAGGCTTAATAATGTTCTTTTAACATAGTATTTTATATGTATTGTTCATGTAGATTGAAAAGAAAGAGTGCACTTATCAGAAAATTGGTTTGTCATTTTAATTTAATATAGCACATGCTGCAAATGAAGACTTTGGACATAATCTTACCAAGATGAAAGTAGTGTGACAAAGCTCTATCCTTGCCTCTGTGGGTCCAGCGTTTCCTGGCGGATTTCGCTAGCCTCAGAGGTTCACTGTGACCCTCCACGTAACCCTTCTCTCTCTCTCTAGAGACAAGGGTCACAGTCTACTGAGCCATTTTCATCATAAGCAAGTGAGGGAGGGGAGGAGAAGTTATCCTTCCTTGCACAGTCTCTGTTGTCTCCCGGCCTCAGTGACTAATCAGGGGGCAAACGTGGGGGGGAGCCCGGGGCCACCCTCTACTCTGGGCTCCAGCCCAGGGACCCTAATAGTATCAGCTATGGTAGCTGACCTTTTAGAAACATGACATGTACAATTCCCTGGGCTACTTCCCCCACAGCAGCCCTCAGTTCCTCAAGCTACACTTCACCCTTACCTCAGGGCCTCCTTCCTTGTGCCGGATATGGTGTGTACTACTCAGTCTCTCCAACAGCACAACTTCCTCCCACAGCTCCTGACCTGCACACCCACCTGACTAACTGGGAGGCTTTTAACTAGTTTCAGCCAGCCCCTGATTGGCTTCAGGTGTCCCAATCAACCTAGCCTTCTCCCTGCCTTCTGGAAAGTTCTTAATTGGCCCCAGGTGTCTTAATTGACCGGGAGCAGCTGCCTGGTACCAGGGGTTTGTTTAGCCTGGAGCTAATATATCTATCTCCCACTACTTTTCTATAGCCATCTGGCCTTGCCCCGTCACAGTAGCTATAGGTTCTGGCGTAACAGTCCCTGAACAGCTGGAAGAATGGTAAATTTACATAGGAAAGGAAAGACACTGTCATCACCCTGCAACTAGGAGAAAGCAGGAGATTTTAAATTTTGCCTCTATGAAGAATTCTGTAAAAACCTGCCATGACAAGTTGGGGTGGTCAGATTTCCTTTTCTTATTTTTACATAGAGCTAGTGGTTCACATTTCAGGAGTAATATTTCCTCTGACACAATCTAATCAGATACTTTCTGCTTAGAAATTCAGGTCCTAAATATCTAAACTTGGAACAATTTTGCAGAAAGTTAGTGCACACATTTACCACTACTGTGCATGCAAATAAGTCTGTATACACAAATATGTACACTTCATTTGTTCATCCAACTGTGGTAACTCTGCATATTTATTGGGCATGCAGGTGCACACACCCGTGTGCCTACAGTTTTGAAACCATTATACATCCTTACTTACCAAATTAGAAGACTATTTCATAAAGGGTATTTTGTTTACTAACAGGAATTCAAAGAGACTAAAAGGTCATTATTTGTCTACTCCAGATACCAAATTGCAAAAGAAGCAAAAATATTGATTTCACATTCTAATTGATTTCTGGAAGTAAACAAAAGTGCCTTTTGTATGAAGATTTAAGCTTAAGATAGAAGCAATTACTCTGTTGAGTACTACACTTAATGTAACAAGGAACAACAACATTATGTGACACCCATCATGCAGCACCCATAAAGGAAACTTAATTTGGAGAAAATAAATTGTGTGATTTCTGGTTCTGAGGAATATTAGTATGCAGAATAACTTTGTTTGCAATTTAAATGTGTTAGCTAAAGCAGTGTAAGTTTTAAAACATACACACTTAAAACCAAAAATACAGATACTATGTAACTGATAAATTCTGAGAATCTACCTGTTAAGTAGAGACAGGAAGTGATTTACCCGAAGTTTCCAAACTTTGGTGACTACAGTTAGGCACCTAAAATCCATCTACTATGTCATCCTACTTTAGGCACCCAAAAGTTTGGAAAGTTTTACCATAATTCCTTCTGCTGGTACCAAATATTACGAGTAAGAATGTTTAAAAAAAAATAATAATAATAATAATTAATAATAAAAATCCATTATAAATCTCCTGCACCCTATTTTCTAATACTTATGTGAAACTGTAGTAAATGTAGAAGCGTCACTGTTGCCCAGTGCTGATTAATAAGGTATGAAAATCAAAGCCTAACATTTAACTAACATCACAAACTACAAAAATTCATTTTTCCTATATATCTCACCCATATAAGTGCACAGGTTCATTGCCTTTCTACCAATGAGCACTCCACCCTCCGTCCAATCCAGTATCTTTGCCCATCTTCCTAGCACCTATTTGTGGATGTCCAGTACTCTCAAATTCACGAAGGCCAAAGCTGAGTTCTTCATGTCCTCTAAGACACCCCAACTGTTTCTCTCTCTCCCTGTGGACAACACCATGCTCCTAGTCATCCAGGGCCATAACCTGGATAAAAATCTTTGACTCAGCCACATCTATAGACCCAAATATTCAGGCCATGTCTAAATTTCACCCTTTCTTCCTATACAATCACTCTAAAGTCTGACATTTCCTCTTGTTTCACATAGCTAGTACTCTGTTTAAGCCCTCACCATCTGCATCTTTATTATCTTCCATTCTGGCACTGGTTACTAAAACCTTGTTTCTCTCAAGTCCATCCAAAATGCTGCTGCCAATATCACCTTCCTGGCTCATTGCTCTGACGACATTAGTCCTCTTAGAGCATGTCTACATAGCAACTAGACACTTGCAGCTGGTCCATGTCAGCCAATTTGGGCTCATGTGGTCGGGCTGCAGGGCTGTTTCATTGTTGTGTAGACTTCCAGGCTCAGGTTGGAGCCCAGCCTCTAGGACCCTGCAAGGTTGGAGAGCCCATCAATTAAGCAGTCCTGCAAAACCAAGTTGGCTGGCACAGGGCCAGCGGTGGGTTTTTCTTTGCCATGCAGAAATACCCTTAGAGTCCCTCCATTAGTGCTGTCCTTTGTTTTTTAAGGTAAAGTCTGTTTTAAGTATTCACAACATAGCCCTTCCCTGTCTTGCTGACCTAGTAGTGTATCAGGACACCAACTCCCAGCTTCACTCTGTCAACTCCCACCTTTTTCTGTGCACCAGTCAGCTTCCTTCCTTATGCATCCTGTATGCTCATGCCACCCCTAATACTCAGAAAAAACTTGCTAATATAACTTGCAACCACTACCCTATCCTCCTTCAGATCCCTCCTCAAGACTCACCTCTTTTAGAATGCCTACCAAACCCAGGATGCAGACCATAGTCAGGCAAGTAATGAGCAGTGACTGGCCTCTTTCCCCTTACTCTTATTAACTTCCCCATTTCTCATCCTACTACTACCTCCAATTTAAAGAAGAACTGCACCCCCCACCCCCACAAATTCACATGAACCTAACAAAGCAGAACTGTATGAGAAAATGAATACGTTGAAGAAACATTAAATCCCTAACTCCTTATTTGTCTGTTTTGTGCCATTTAGATTGAAGCTGTCTGGGGGCACGGATTGTCTCTTATCTGCGTCTGCACAACAACAACTAGCACAGTAGGGCCTCAGTCCCAGCTGGTGCCTTTGGATACTACCACAACATGTTTACTACCACCAGTCTCTGGACCACCAAAGTCCATGGAGTACTTGCTGGACAGCTGGCTAGTCGTATGGTACTGGCTCCTCTCAGTTATTTCCTGCTCCTATTCTTCACTAACAAAGTTAAAGAAGAGCTTTCCTGATATTTTTTTTCCCCTCCATATAATGAAATGCTGCGGTTGTCATAGGAATATTACATGAGAGGTCTGCAAGACCTCATTCACAAGTTCTGTTAAAATGCAGTCCACCCTATGAAAACATTTGAGAACCCCCAAACTATGCTATCCAACATTAAGGTTGAGCTGTCAAAATCATGATTTTATAAAAAGGCAGGAATATTAAGCATTTACAACACATACAGGAAATACAGATATTACAATAGACTTAGGCTAAAAATAGAAAACCTGTACATGCACAATGTGGCTGAATTATTGTTGCTGTAGAAACCTTAGTTTTTTCTTCTCCTGTCATTTTCCCTTTGAACTCAACTGCAAAACCTTATTTCATTTTTTCCCCCTGCATTTATCATAGCTCTGCTGGGACAATGACTAAAAATCAATCCCACTACTTTAGAGCAGAAACTATTTTTCCAAGCAGAGCCGTGTAGTAATAATTCATTCCTCTACCCTAAAGTGAGAATTCAAACCAAAAGACAGTTATGATTTAGCAAGTTCCCCACACCTTCTTCCTAGCAGTATGGGAGATTCTCGATTGTCACAACCTACAATATGGTCAACACACACACTGATAACTGGGAAAATCTATTAAATAGAACACATACCTGATTTGTCATCTTGGACCTCAAACTCTGCACCAGCAGATCCAAGAAGAGATGCTCCATGTTTTAATAGTCGACAGATATCAAACCTATCAAAACGCAGTCTATCACTGGCACATGAATCGTCCATAGGACTTTCTGAATCAGATTCTAGATAGAAATTAAAAATACACTTAAGGAAACCGTCAACACCAATGCTCTTTCACATGAGAAGCAGGGGCAAAGGTGGGAAAGAAATACACCCATTTGTGAGTTTAAAGGCCTCATGGAGGGAAGAATCTACCTGCTGCAATCCAACTGAGTCAATAAAAATATTCGTCTAAATACGTTGCCTTGATGATGCTTATGCTTGATTTTCAGACCTTAGGTAGCTGTGCATTTACATGCCTACTTTGTGCAAACTGATTTGCAGACTCACGGGGCTGATAAATCCTGATGTGCTCACAGATTGTGTACTTCAAACACAAATGTGCACCTACCCAAGGTCGAAAAAGTAGATCAATTATTTGCTTCCCTAATTGAAATTACAAAATCTTGCTCATTTACAGCCCAATGTGCTTTATTAGGAAGTTTATGTACCCAAATCAAAATTAGTACAGTCTATTTTCTTCACTTTACACACAAAAAAGTCTTGTGCTTTTGTAACACACCTAAAAGACAGAAGGGAGAACTGACTTGTCCAATAATTGTATTTAGCATTCAGGTAAAAGAACCATGATAATACAGCACCATTACACTGGGCCACCAAACATCAGTAGGATCAAATAGCTTCACGAACTCCAAAATTAGAGACACAGTACATACAGACCTGGTTGTTAGTAGTTTTAGCCTTACAGGGCTTTTATAGAAAACTAACTGGAGATGTTCAGGAAATATCTGGCCAAAGCAACACAATAACAACACATGACTCCACCTTCTAGCAGGCAGACATGTTCAGTGGTGTAAGAGTGCAAAGTGGGGAGGCGGAGGGGGAAGTGTTTGCAGTAGGCTTCAAACACCCAACTGGCAGTAAAGCTTTAAGGATTAATGGACTTCTGCTTTTTCAGTAAGGTAGGCGCTTTATTATCCCACCTGTTTTATAAAAGAGAAGGAAGGATATTTTCTGGGGTCTAGAACATGAGCTGAGCAGTCCTGATGAAATCCTAGGAGAAGCCAAACTTATGCAGAAGTTTTGGTGGAATCTTATGTTGTTATCCTTGTTAATAAAGCCAAACCCCATTAAGAGGTTGGGTATGGATTCTGTGTATGTCAGGGAAAGGCAACGTATGGCATGCGTGCAAAAGGTGGCACGCAAGCGGATTTTCAGTGGCACTCACAATGCCCGGGTCCCAGCCACCGGTCGGGGGGGCTCTACATTTTAATTTTAAATGAAGCTTCTTAAACATTTTAAAAACCTTATTTACTTTACGTACAATAGTTTAGTTATATATTATAGACTTATAGAAAGAGACCTAAAAACGTTAACAATGTATTACTGGCACACAAAACCTTAAATTAGAGTGAATAAATGAAGACTCGGCACACCACTTCTGAAAGGTTGCTGACCCCGACATATGTAGCATGCAGACTGCTTGTCAGACAATCTTTTCCAATCTGCTTTACAAGTTTTATACCAGAGTAAGTGTACATTAGAGTGATCATCAACTATACATAGTTCACTTAAAAGCACCTTGTTTTGGTCTTGGAGTTGGCTTCCACTCTGGTACATTTTTCACTATTGCTTCAACAGCCTGGCCAGCTGCTATGCGAGTATCCCAATTTGTACTCCTTAAGTATATTAACACCTTTAAAGAAAGATTTGAAAATTAGTTATCTAAACCTTGAAATAAATTTTAATTTCATGAGTACAGCAGCCATCCAGTGCTCTGGACGCTGTACAAGATCATTTTAAATGCAATGGATCAAAAGGCTCCATTTAAAAGACAGCGGGGACAAGGAAGAAACAGTGAGAATACACATTGCTTTATTATCAATAGCATTCATGCTACTCAACAAGAAGCACCAATGATAATCTAGTACAACAAACTCAAACAAGTAGTTAAAACACAGTTGTGTCCCATCATTCTAATTCAACTTAGTCTAGATTTTAAAAAGTAGTATTTTCTCAGAGCACTGAGAAAAGTACGCTCAATGCACAATTTTTTGCCCAAGGAGGCCAACATGGGCTGTGATAGCATACACTTCTCTACACCAATACCATTATGCCTCAGCCCCAGAAAGGACTCTCTTTTGGTAAAAGTGGAATAATATTCATGACTCTGGCCACTCTGATGATAGCATCAACTGTGGTATAGATACCCATTCAATAAAAACAGAGATGAGATCATTCTGATGCCACTACTGTCAGACAAATACTACTTTTGGTGGTTCTGTTTGTTTCTTTTTTTAAACTGGATTTGGCCAGATTAAAATCTAGAAGTAATGAAAGTCTCTATTTCATTTCTAGTCCTTTAAAATCATCTAGCCTGCTACTAATCACTTTTTAACCCTACAACACATAGATCAACTAAGTTTTGAACTAATGATGCAACAGCGGGAAACTGAAAAGAGTTAAGTTTCTCTTTCCAGATTACAGCAAATGTTGAACGAAGTAGGAATTAATCATATCTAGAATACACAGTGAAAACCAGTCTTAAGTGACACGCTAAAGGCTGATAAATTAGCTGTTTAATGGAAGTGGTCTTCTAATTAAGAATGAAGCAGAATAGTATTCAATATATTTAGGGGATTCTTTTAGGTGGTCTCCTAAAAAACAGGAGACTGACAAATAAGGCTTCCTTGTAGTATCAAAAAAATAAATCTAGTTTTATTCTCACTTTAATTCTCTATTTGGCAAGGCTCTGATGTTATATTAAGAAACAAATGCTTACTTTAGATAAGAGATTATTCAGTTCATGGGGATGGAGTTTCACCACCTCCCCAAGTTGCTGTGCAGCTGCTTTTCTTGTTACCGGTGTGGTACCAGTGTCCAGTAAAATGAAGAGACGATCAAGCCTACACATATGAAAAAAAATGCTACGTGATTATACTTGCAGAATTTGATTGGCTCACTCCATTAACATAATCCCATTAAACCGTCCAGCACACTTGACAATTTGAGGGGAGTTGGTTGCTTGGGGACTGACAAGATATAGACCAACGGATCTGCAATTATGGTTTTTAGTAATAAAAGTTTACTCATTCTGAAAGAATTTGTAATTGAGAATAAACCAGAACATTGATCAAATCCAAATCCAAAATGGAATAAAAATCTTTCATTACAAAAGTTACAGTTTATCCACTTTTTATAAAGTTCCACAAAGTTGTAATCATGATCAACTAGTTGTTCATCTCAGAACAGGATGGAAATTCTCTATTTCAGGATAGAAATACCTTTTAACTTCAGTAACACTTTACATCCCAACAGTGATATGGAGAAGTGCTATTACACGAGTGCATTTGGACAAGACTCCAGTAGAAATAACCCTAATATTCGACATTAAAATTTTTGCTGGAAATGCAGATTTATAATCCATTATGTCAAGTTCTGCCTTTCTTTTGGATACCAGTTTTGTCATCAATTCTCATTCTTCCCCTAGCTGAGTAGCCAGATGTGTAAGCATCAAGCCAATAGAATCTTTGAGGTACTTTTGTCAAACAGAGGAGTAACAGCACGACAAGTATTGCGCAACATGAGGTCTTCTGTATAATACTTTACCTCACTGTTAGCAGAGACATCATGATGGCAACATTTAAGGCAAAAAGATTGGACTTTGTAATAAGTAGTTTTCTTTATGAAACTTTCCTACAGTAATTTTTCATAAATGGAAGTGTTTGTGATTTACGAATAAGTTTTTTTTCTAATTGTGAAGCAAATCAATGGATCTCTTTGCCAAGGGATGTGACTCCATCACCACTTAGAGCAGGGATTGGCAACTTTTGGCATGTGGCCCGCCAGGGTAAGCCCCCTGGGGGGCCAGGCCGGTTTGTTTACCTGCTGCATCCGCAGGTTCGGCCGATCGCAGCTCCCACTGGCCGCGGTTCGGTGCTCCAGGCCTCTGTAACACCTATGTTTGTACAGACAGAACTAGACCCCAGTGAGAGACTTGTGTTTCTTGAAGCTATGAGATCAGGGAAGGTCTAGGAGAATGATTTTTCCCCCCCCCAAGCTGCAAAACTTAACAAAGGGGGAACATTCTCTCTCATCCCCCTCTAACCCCATTATCCTCCTCCCAATTAAGTTATGGCAAAAAAAAAAAAAAAATCCCTCCCGCCCCCAAATCAATTGACATCAATGGAAGGAAGATTTCAGCTCAACTCCCACTGAAACCAGTGGGCGTAGGACTGATCCTGAAGCTAGACACCACAGTTGTTAATAACTAAGGGTATGTCTTCACGTGATCTATCGGGATCGATTTATCGCATCTAGATGAGACGTGATAAATCGATCCCCGAATCGACACCTGTACTCCTCCTCAGCAGGAGGAGTAAGCGGATTTGATGGGGGAGCCGCCGCGGTCGACTCGCCACTGTGAGGACAGCCAGGTAAGTCGAACTAATACTTCGACTTCAGCTATGCAAATAGCATAGCTGAAGTTGCGTATCTTAGTTTGAACCACCCGCCACCCAGCGTAGCCCAGGCCTTAGCCCGATTACATCTGGTTTTCTACTTTGATAGCACCGAAGCATTTCTGAGCTAATGGGAAGACAAACTTGAGACACTACTAAAAATTTAAAATCAGAGTAATCAACTATTTGCAATGCAAACCAAAATCTGAAAAAAAAAGTTCTCTTGAAACTGCAGACATTTTTTTGCCTTCAGAATAAAGCAGGCAATGGTAAGGACAAACCAATTTTCCAAACCAACATTGAAGTGGAACTAGAAATACAGCTTTCTAATGGAATCTGGTTGTAACCTCAGCTATGAGGAGGCAACCTAATATATATAACAGCACCATAAATGTACAATAGAACTCTCCCCCAAAACAGCTCACAGTTTAAATACACAGGTACATCACCACTTGTGATTATAGCTGAAATTCTCAACCGAACAGGAGGGTGTTGTGTTTTTCTCAGAAACGAAGCCTTGAGTGTGAGCAGGCAACAGAGATAAAAGGAGTACTTGGGAACTAAACTTAAGTGGCACAGAGATAGAAATAACAGCAAAGATATTTCTGAATTGCTTTGAAAAAAATAGAATTTTATATACATAAAAATAAAAAAAATAATGGAAGTGGCCTCCCTCTACAGATATCTTAATTTTAACATAACTGCAGTCCATCTGCCTACATCCACTCACAATTTAATCATTTCCTTCATTTGCCATCCGTAAACCATTGTCTGTGCAACTGTAGTGGCTGCTACCTTCTTCCCCAAAGACATCTGAATTTCAATGGTAGAACAAAAAGAAAAGGAGTACTTGTGGCACCTTAGAGACTAACCAATTTATTTGAGCATAAGCTTTCGTGAGCTACAGCTCACTTCATCGGATACAATGGTAGAACAGTCATCATCCCTTTATGTGTTTGCGCTTAAATAAAAAGTGATGTTGTTTATAGCACAGTAAATTAAGTCAAGCCCTTGTTCACTTCCCTGAACTTGTCAGGTATCTCTATTTGTTCTGCGACAGCTGATTTAATACTTGTTTAAAAAGTATCTATAAGAAAGGAGGATGTTCAAGTGTTAATAAAATGAAAGTTTTGTAGATTCTGCTTTCTTACTATAAACACATTCTGAGGAAAGAAGCCCACAATCTTTAAAGTCCTTTGTTTTTGGAACTGTATGAGTCCCCTTCCGTGCTTCTTTGTTGCTTTTTGGAGTACATGGCACCTTAAGTAGCTTCTAAAATGGTATGATTTTAGAGAAATGTGTAGTCACACAAGGGTATCAAGCAAAAACCAAAGGAATCCACAGGCCTCCCACAAAAAATAAGATGCAGGATATGTGGTTCAGCACACGGCAAGTAACAAATATTTTAGAGTAAGCGTTTAGCAGTTGCCTTTTAAAAACTTTAAATACTGATAGGGACACAAATACATCCACTATGCATGCTGCCTAAAAATAACCCATTGCAGTGCCTATATTTAATGTTACATGGTTGTTATTCAGGTCTTAAAAACAGTGCTAAAATTTAGTACGCTTTTATGAGACAAGGAGCACATTTTTCCCCCTGTAAGTTTCACCCAAATAAATTGAGCCATTTTCAAGTATAGAAGGAGTGGGGAGAAAGCTTTTTTTTTTTTTTTAAATTGACTAAAAAGCAGGAAGAGGATAGAAACTTAAGTTTTGTAGGAATACAGTTCTGAGACCATAAATGTGCCTTTTATGTCCTGGTGAAAATTTGATATGGCCAAGTTAAAGAGTTTTAAGAAGTCCTATTTAACATAGGATAAAAACAAATGAAAGTTTTCACAAAATTGATGTCTGCACATTCAATGTAATCCTGAGACATGTAAATGTAATTGATTGAAATTTCATTTTTCATAGGTTGGGGGATTGTGGAATATAAATGACTATTTGTAGAGAGAGAAATAGAAATGTATGGAATGAGGCAAGCCTCCTTACTTCACTGCTTGCACATTGTGTCATAACAGAACATATTCTGTTGCGATCTTCCAAACAGTTTAACATAACTAAGTTAGGCACAAAGTCGTCAATTTTACGTAATGAAACAGGGATCACATGTTTAAAAAGGGATAATAATTAAAGACTGCTGTAATGCATAAGCACAGGCAGCCTTAACTCTGTCATTTCCTTACTTTTTACTATTCCACTGTACAACCTTAACTGTATTTAAAATATTTTTATAATTATAACTTGTATATGGCAGACATGTATATACATAGTGTATCCCCAAGCTAGCATGATACTTTGCAATCAAATAAGTAGGGAAGATCCCTGCCTCAAGAAGCTTATTTTAGGACCTGAGCCATGTCCCATTTAAGTGACTATAATTTGTCCCCCTGCCTTAATGAGAAATGAAACAGGCCTTTAAGGTGAAGTCCTGCAAAGACATACAAGAAGTTTTACTGGCCTCTAAAAAGAAGTTGTTGTATGGGTAACAAGCTGCAGAACTAAGCCCTAAATTGAAAGACAGACCATGAAGAGAGGGATTTTTGGGGAGTTGGAAGAAGTCAAAAGTAAACAGGAAGGGAGTATTACTTCAGGGCAATCACACAGATACCCATCTCACAATGGAAAGCAGAAGGTATAAAGAGTTTAGTGTATTTCTTGTCCAACACACAAAACATCTACTGAAAAGAAATGTAAGTTACTTGTTTTAAGGCTTTGAAGTAGTGTTTTGAAGGAATATATAAGAAGAGTAGTTGCCTCATTCAGAACTCTGGCAATCTAAAACCTCTTCAGTGTTAGAACTGGACATTCCTTATTAAAACAAATAAGGTGATTCCTTTACATGTAAAGCGCACACACACCCAAAATGCTACAATATACAATGTAGCTGACAGAGAAAAACAGACCCTTCTTAGAACTATAAATGCAATGCAAATTTCATCATTTACGTACTTTCTATCTCAGAAAGCATCTTCAGAATTAACTGAAGCATATGTATGACCAATTACGTTGCAAAAGTTAGAGAAGAGCAACAAAATGACACAATAGTATTAGAACAGGGCTTCAAAAATGTATTAACACCTAGTAGCCAGAGACTGATACAAAAGATATACCAGCAAAATCTATTGGCAACACCCTGGTGAGAATCCCAGCTCTAGCTGCTGGAATTCCTATCAGGGTTCTAGCCTTGGATCCTGTTCAGGAGTTTCATCTTTCGTATCAGTCTTTGACTAGGAGGTGTCTGAGAAGTTTCACATCTCCTTGCTGTTATATGGGGGGTGGGGGGTTAGTTCCACTGCTCTATCCTTTTACCAACTGCCTGAGGCTAGTGCCAGGCAGTAGTGTTCTTCCACAACTCTAGCAGTCTTCATTAGTAAGATTTTAGTACTAGAGTGCCTGCCTATGCTGCTCTTTAGCTTTCCCAAGCAGCAATACTAGTAGAGTGGAACTGACAAGACTCAGGTCAGTTTTATTGTTATTTTAAAGCTTGGGGGTATTGATGAAACTAATCAGAATCCCACCAATATAACTTTCACCAATACCTGCAGGCTCTTCAATGGCAATCAACTTGACCCCAGTCTGTCAATTTCACTCTACTACTGTTGCTGCTTGGGAAAGTGAAGAGCAGCAGCAATGAAACTACATGCAAACTTGAAAAGACAGCAGTGCATACATTCACATTTGGAAGGTTCTCTGCTGGAATTTTTTTTTTTTAAAGTAAATTTATATACTGCCAGAACTGATAACCCCATTAACACAATGTTTCTACAAGCACATGGATTTTTCAGGCCTTTACTGGAGGCTTTGAGTTACCTTGAGACAGAGATAAATATAGACAGATTGTTAATGATATACAGGTTTGAAATTTTAGATGTTTATGATCCCACAGCAAGGTTGCCTGTTCTTAGGAACTCTTATATAACACAGCCTCACACCTTATAAAGGCTTGCCAGGACCAGCATATGAACCACTCTCATTCTCAGGGACTTTACTATCATGATCATCCTCAGTAACTATTCAGAATATTGGTCCTGTATTATGGTCCCAATTTTTGTGTGGGGGGGGGCTGGAAGAGGGGGTGCAACTGAAGGATGCTATACTGAAAACCCAGAAATTGGGGTCTTATTTACTGACCAGGTACAGCACAGGCAGCTTGTGCTTCTCCACACTTGCTTATTAAAATGCTTCACATTTTCTCCAGTGAGGTAAGAAAGTATTTCAAATGAACACAACTAGAAATCTAATCAATTTCATGAAGTGAGTTAAAGATAGGGGCAAGTATTATACCTGTTAGAAAGTCATTCTGCCACTTTTTTTGATTTTACTATCACATTTTCCTATTTTAAAAAGGTTTCTTCTCCCCTCCCAGCGTAGTGCAGATTTTCCCATTATTCTGAGGGGTAACTGACTGACTAAGCAGAAGAAACAATGGATGATATATAAAGTGTTTTTGAATATACAAAAGGAAATGAAAAATAGGTTCCCTCTAAAATTTTTAAATTAGAGTGGCTCTTTGGTGGGATTTTTTAAAAAACAGCTTAAATTTAACTTTAGTTAAATACCTTAATTAACTTTTTAGCTGGCAGTGTCCCCTTTCAATTTTGATGTCAACACACACTTTAGACACCGCTGAAATCTGGCAACAATACTGAATATAGTGTCCTTTTTGCAGTGATAGTGGTTTGTGATGTGAAAATGTTCACTAGGCAACCTATAATCACAAAGACCACCAAAACCATCACCACATCATAATGACTGTCACCATAACAGGGGGCAGGTTTGAGCAAATGACTTTAAGGTGAAAGGATTTGCTGTATCCCATTATTAGTCCCTGTCTTGAGCCACCCAGTTCTACGAGTTCCTAATTCCTTTCTCAAGCAGGGGTTCCTACCATGCTCACATTTGTGTACAAGCCTAGTGAGAGAGAAGAGGAAGAACAAATTTCTTGCTATCGCACTGGTTGTTTCTAAGAAAGAATTCTATTACCCAGATACACTGCCCTGTACAGCTAATGGGGAAGGAGACGTCAGGGAGAGAAGAGAATTCCCATCAAATTATCCCTGTTCAAGGCTTATTCTTGGAGATTGGAGAAGGGAGCACTATAGCAACATGTGTTTGTCTCCTGAGAGGAAGGCTATCTTGCCTAAACACCCATTTGTACTTATTCTTGGGGATGACATCCATTGGGTAGCCCCTACTTGTCTGTGTATTATTTCAGGAGATATGGCACATAATCTGTGTTTTACTTTTGTTATGGGGCTTCTGCTACTTTGTTTTAAATAAATAAATCCAAAAAACCAAGACAATGAAATAAACAGCAGACTCTATAAAGATTCTGCCACAAACAAAATTTCTAGAAGACAGTAGACTCTGGTGATACACACCACCACTCATCCAATAGCATGGACTAATATCCAAAAATCCATTTCCTTCATTCCATAAGTGCTAGCCATGTTTTTATTATTATTTATTTTACAAAGCAAATGCGTCTTAGCTATAGTAGCATTATAAGATCCTAATCTGGTTTTGACAAAAAAATGTTTACAGATTCTCACCATCCGTCCAGAGTTTAGTTTTGACAAGCCAAGATTTTAGGAAGGTTTTTCCATTCAACCACCATTCAAAGCTAATCTTCACATTTACAGCAAGGTACTTGACAATCTTATTTTTGAAGTATAGGAAAATATAAAAGCAAATCAGCTGCAAACACAGGAATAGGATTTCATTTTGAAATAAGGTTCTAATACTAAATTAGCCAGAAACTTCCCTAAGACTATTATCCTAGACAGATATTAAGTCAGCCAGACTTGTTTCCACCCCCTCCCCCCATTTATAGTTAAAATTGAACAGTAATCTTGGTTCTTTAATACATATCTAAAAAACATACTTTTAACCACAACTATCCACAGGGAGAGTTCAGATCTCTAAGATAAATGAAGCTTGTAAAGACCATAACACTAAGCAACCAAACCTAATGTAATCAACACCAACAATTTATATATTCATACAAGTTCGAAAGGAAAACAGGCTGAAATTTCTGGGTTCAGAAGTGAGAACTCTTGGAAACATGGTTTTCTATTGTCAGGTGTAATACAGACTGCTACAATGCTCCTGTTCTTATATTTAACTTCAAGGAAAGGTCACTTGTCAGAATAAGAGTTACTGTATATGATCTGCATTGTGTGATGTTTCTGCTATTATAAGAATGTGCTGAGGCCAAACTTATACAGTATCACTTTTGCATGTAGACTGAAACATTGGAGACAACAGGGACAGCCAAACTGTTACAAGTGTTTCAAAATATGTAGTTCCTTTGCACTACTGGCTCTTGAAGGGATTCCTTACCAACTTTTCTTGGACTGTCTCTCACAAATACTCCACTACTTCTGTATACTTGTCTACACAGGGAACACATTCGATTACAAGCATTTGAAGCTTGGAACAGAAGTAAATCCTCATTTTAGGCCAGGCTTTAAAATACATATCTACTGTTCAGCTAATTCTTAATATTCCAGGTATCTGCAACATTGCAAATAAAGTAATTAGGATAATTTTTGTGTAACAGAAGAATTATTTACAGTGACTGCCCCCAAAATAAAGGGATTATAACACTGCTGTGTTGGAAATGACATGTGGCATCCGATAGCAAAATTTCACTGCAAAAGGTAAAATAATCTCCTAGTGCTTTAAATTTTGGACAAAATCCCAATACAAAACAATTGTTTTGAAGGGAACAGTAGAGAACATAACCAAAAAATTGTCATGAAACATTGTCAACCTCAAAGCTTCTCATGTCAAATCAAATGGCCTCACTGCTCTTAGAAACAAAAACACCCATATTGCAGGCTTGAATTCATGTTTCACAACAGCTTTCAGTGGTGAATGAAATTCACATATTCTAATAGACCAGATAATGTATGGACAAAGATATGAACATCACTACCTACTTAATGTACATCTTTTGATTAGGATCCACTTTTGTTACAGAAGTTTTAAAATGTAGAGGTACCATCTATGTAGATTATCCCCAAATCTCATCACCACTGTCAAAACATCTAGGTAATGGTTAGAAGGGGGGGGGGGGGGGAAGCATCCTGTTGTGAAGTTTTTCTGTGTTCAAAGGATGATTGAGATTCATAGGCAATTTTATAATACACAAATATTTTACTAAAGTTGTATAATTAAACACTTTAAACCCCAGCACACCCTGATTCACATATGTTAAATAGATACCACCTAGGAGCTAGGATTCCCTAATCATTTCTTGGTGTGGAAGTCTATGGTTTTATTATTGGTATACTAGGAGGCAGACAAAGCAAAGTGGTTCCTGTCAACTCCCGAGGCCGGCATCATCGGTGCCAATACACTGGTGGGCTACTTTGATGTGGCAGGATTCCACCAGCCTTCGGCACGAACACTTAAGGGTGGCCTGTACATCCTTTGACAGTGCGTATAAGATCTTGGGTGGGGAAAAAACCCTTATCGCAGGAAGGAGGGGTCTGGGTCCACACGCCCTTTACTGAGCTAAGGGCTTCGGTCTGCTCCTGGGGCTGCAGTTGCCCCGGGCGGTGGACATGCTATGAACTGAGCCCGCGCTCAGGGCCATGCAGCAGCACCAGAAGCACACGGGAGGCCGCAAGTGGCGCATGCTGCTGGGCAGGAATAATGCCCCGCTGGGGCCTCAAGAGGTTAAGGAGGCGATTAGGAAGCGGGAGCGAGTCACCTCTTCAGCCCCACACACCAGAGGCTGCCTTGGGGACTGAAGTCCATGGGCCGCCGCCCTCTTCCCCCGCCACTCCGGGCTTATACCGACCTGGAGACCGCCATAGCCAGAGGGAACCTGGGCCGGGTTTGATGAGAGCAGCGGGTGGCAGGCGGGGGCCGCCGTTGCTCTCCCAGGAAGGAGGATACAGGGGCCTGGCCTAGGCCTCTCAGGCTCCACACTCCGACCTCGGCCCCAGCGGATAACGATGGGGAGCGGCTGAGCGCGTTGACTGCCGGCGGAGTCCCACTGGCCCCCGGGGGTGGTGGCAGTGTGGGTGGTAGCAGTGGAACGGCCTCAAAGCACCGGTTAAAGCTTCTATTCGCCCATCGCTGGGGAGAAGCCCAACGCCTGATTTTATAGGAGCAGCCATCTTGTATTTATTCCCTTCCTCCATGATAGCCGCTTCCTCATTGGCAAAAGCGGCGAGCCGCAGCCAATGGGAACAGTGCTTCTAAGAGTGGCGAGGGAGGGAGCGTAGAGTTGGGGGATGGGGCTGAGTAGACTCTACCATGGAGCTTGCCGCGCCTGCTGGGGGAGGGGGGAGCGGGCCATACCATTTACATAGCTGTAGAGGGAAGACTACACAACGGATCGTACCCGTTTGCGTGGGGGGAGAGAATATCCCCAAAATGTGTCAGGCACTTTACATCAACCCCATAACTTCAACTGCAGCGTTCTCCGTGGGGCTAGAGCGGGAAAGGTCACTTCCCCGTCCCCCGACTGCAGTGGCATGACCCCTCGTCCCCACAACTTCTGCTGGCACTGTCTACAGCGCACGCTAAGCGGCAGGAGCGTGGCAAGCCCACAGGTACTACAACTCCCAGCATGCATTGCGCGCGCCTGAGCTGGTGGGCCGCGTGCGCTTGGCTCTTTGCGGAGGGACGGCGGGTGCGCGGCGCCGCTGTTAGGTAGGGCCGCGTGCTCGGGGGCCCACTGTGGCAGCGGCCGGCGGCTGTTCGCTTCTGCCTGCTCGCTCTCTGAGGGCGGCTCCTGAGCTGGTGGGTCCTAGCGCTGGGGACTACCTCCCGCCCGTGTCCTGCTGTCATTACTACTCTACCTACTGCCCGCCCTTCAGTGGCTGAGCAGCTCCAGCAGGGTCAAGGGAGGTAAATCCTTCCCACCTTCGACATTTAGAGGGCAGCTGGTGGCTATGGGGAAATCAAACAGTTTATAGAAATACGTCCAGCTAGTAGTAAGATACTGATGTATGCTCACCCCACCTCCCACAAACAGGTGGGTATTACACTGAAAAATAGAGGCTGGGATACAACAACAAGACCTCTTAGATTTACTTACAATTATTTATTAACCTGCAACAGTTCTCAAAGTAGCCGGGCCACGACTGAGTTTCCATATCTGTAGCTCATTCCACTCCCTTTACAAAGAGGAATTACATTCTAAATGCCACAGGTAAAATCAGAGCTGTATTTGATATTCAGCTATACTAAATTGCATTTGTCGTCCATGTAATACAAACTCACACTCTTCCCCAAGCTTTCTTTTAGCAAATTAAGTACCATGTGAAACAGAACCAGTTTTAAAGGCTACTATGACTCCGCCCAACAGTCTGCACCACCAATCATAGCTCTTTTTTTGCCTGTTATAATTTATTCGTCTTAATATCTGGGGTAGATTACTAAACCTTTCCTCAGGTGCCTACTATCAGCCTCACATAAGGTTTGCTAATTTCCAAGATTTCCACCCACAACCTCCTTTCTAAAGAGAGATACAACATTTGCTATCTTCAATCCTCTGGTATAGCATATAATTTAAATAACAGAGTGCATATTTTTCTAGCAGCTCAGTCACTTTGACCCAGGTCCTCAAAGGTATTTAAGCACCTAACTACAATTGAACTCAGTGGGAATTAGGCACATGAATACCATTGTGGATCATCTGGGCCTTTATTCCTGGATTCCATTAGGACAAGACTGTCAGAATACGATCTAGTCCTGGTGACTTAGTGCTCTCAATTTATCAGTTTGTTTTGGCACCTCCTCTATTGATATCATAGTCTCCAATGATACGTCATTAACTGAAAAGACTTGGTTTGAGATAGGTAGCTGCAGTGTAGCATGATACAAATAAATCATGTAGCATCTCTGCCATGTACTGATCATCCTTAATTGCTCCCTTTACTCTCTGATAGTCCAGCCGGCCAACCCATTTTCTCACAGGCTTTCTATTTCTGACATACCTAAAGAAATCTTGTTATTTATGTTTATTGTCAGATTGTATGCTCTTCAATTACCACATAGCATTCCTAATTTTTATTTATGTTTTACTTGGTGTAGTTTACGCTCCCATCTATGACTTCACTAAAGATGGATTTCCATTTTTTTTAAAATATCTGTTTAGTTTAAGTAACCTTTAGTTATGGCTATTTAACCAAATGTTTTTCTTGTCTTTCTGCTCTCTTTGTTTAGAGGTATGTTTATCTTCTGTCACTCAGCTGGTCTACATGCTGAATCTATAGCGAAGACTACACCAAAAAGTTAAGATGACCCAGCTGTGTTGTTCAGGGGTGTGAAAGCTGACCTAACTGGTTTAGATAGTGCGAGGTTGATGGGAAGAATTCTGTGGACCTAGCTACTTCCTCTCGGGGAGATGGAATAGGTACAGCAACAGGAGAACCCCAGCACTATGTAGTGTTGTAAGTGTACATATAGCCTAAGAATTTTAATTGCCTCATTTTTGACTTAAGGGACTTTTTGAATAGTCTCATCATTTTTTTCAAATGCCATTTTAAAAAGTACTGTGAAGAAGTGCTAGTTTCTGGTACAGTCCATGCCTTGAGGATATGGAACTCATATTGTGGTCACTGTCATTTAGTAGCTTATCTATGGTTACTTCTAGAACAGACTTCAATGTGTTACTTATGACTAAGTCAAAAATAGTCTCTCTTCTTGCATGCTGTAAAATCAGCTGTTTCAAGAAGTAATGTTTTAATGTGTTGAGAAATTGCTTCACTAAATCATGTCTGATTGGGATGTTTGATCAGTTTTTTGTGCAGTAAATGAAGTTATTCATTATTGCTATTTCATTAGATTTAGTTGCCTCTGATCTCCCTCTGCATTGTACATTCAACAGGGTTTTCCTGATTAGGAGACTGGTAGTGTAACCATACTTGTAGATTTCTATTGCTTGGGATTTTACTCCATGATCCTTGCCAGCCAGAAATTTTATCTCATTAGATTGTATGGAATCTTCTAGAAGTAAAAAGATTGCCTCATCAGTCCAATTTGAGATTATAATAATACATTCCATCATGTTTTAATGTATGCCTGTTATGTCAAGGTTCTATTCCATTGCCAAGCATTCTAATTCACCATTTTTTTGTATTTAAATGTCTTGTATTACTATATAGGTATTCTAGGTTTAATTTTTGGCCATAAGCCTGTTGTTATTAAATCTCTTAATATGTTGTTGTTCCAGAATTTACCTCCATGATCTCCATCTGTTTCCCCTCCAGCTCAGCTCTAATTTCTGTCCTATTCTTTACCGGATGCAGAAATACCTTGTTGTTGTTGTTGTTGACATCCCTAGCACATGTCTTTGTATGATCCGGGTACTCCTCCACCGCGTCAAGCTTTTACTCCAGCTCTTAATTTAAATAATATCCCCAAACGTGTGCAGAGTTCCGTGCCAGAAGTCTGGTTCATCTCTTGTGTATAGGTGTTCACTTCTCCGAAAAGTTTCCCATTGCTTAATAAATTTAAACCCACCCTCTTTATATTTCTCTCCCTGATCCATAACTAGGGCTCTTAGAGGGTTTAATAAATACTTAATAAAGGTGCCACTGATAGCTCCTCCACTGTTTGTGTCAGCAAGGGTACTAAATTATATTTACGTAAATCAAGCATGGTTTTTATGAACTCTGAACTTTTATGAGCCTTACAGTATCAGCCCACATGGATAAGCACAATATCATGGAACTTTCTGACAACTGGTCTGGAGTTCTTTAATTGTTTTTCATCAAAAATGTCTATTTGTCAAAACCAAAACTGTTCATGCAACAGGGTCAAGTTCAATAAATTCCCCAACTGAAAAAAAGTTTAGAAATTGTCAACATGAAAAATTCTGGTTTTCCAGTTAGAAATTACTTTTTGATTAGAAAATAAAGTTAATTAGCCTGAAAAAGGATTTTTAGAAAAGAAAAAGGTTCAAAATGAAACTTTTCTAAATGATCAAAACAAAATGTTTTAATTGATCTGAAACACAAAAATGTTGGGTGGTTGTTGGTTTTTTTGGTTCACAAATATTTTCAAGATTTCTACTTTTTGTCCCAATGTGAGACGGGGAAAAAATTTTGAATTCTTTAAAATATTTGCAGGATAGGAACATTATTTTCGGCCCACCTATAAACTGTATCTGCGAGTTCAGTTTGGAGTGGATGGCATGTATGAAATAAGGGAACTCCCCATATGAAAACAAATTAATCAGTTTAATATTGTGTATATAGGGAGAAGCCTGGGGAAGAAGAGTTCCCCTCACTTTTTTCAGTGTTTACCAGAGCTATGTAAGAGGCAAAAATGAGCAGAGCGAAATGGAGATAGTGAGGCCTGTTTGTTTCTATAAGACTGCAGATGTCACCAGATGGGCCTGTGGAAAAGTAACGACATGAAGATAACTTGTACATGAATAAGTTATACTGTATGGGCCACATTTCTTTTGAGTTAAGTATTTTATTATTTAAGCTCAAACATCCATAAGGTTATATTTTTGTTTCACTTTAATAGTCAAATTGCTCTTCTCTCATGAACCAGTGCAAGAGGGACATTAGTCGGTGCAGTAAAAAGACTTTGATATATGTAATTCCCATGTGCCCTAACTAAATATGCATAGCATAAATAGAAAAGCACCTCTATCATCAGGGTGATAAGGATGAGGAAAAACACTGAAATGCTGAATAGGCAGTGCCAGAGGGTTCACATCTAATCCAGCTCTTTCCAAAAGCTGCTGCTATATAAAAATAGAAAAGAAGGCTAATCTGTAACCATCATCAAGGTTCTATCATGGTTACTAAGTTTGCAACTAGATATCAACATGTTAAAATGATTGTATTTAATTATAAAAATCAATTGATATTTCTCTTCAAAGCTGTATACAATAAGACTGTTCCTAACAATATGATTTAGGCTTGTTAAAAACTCTAATATATAGACTTTGAACATCAGAATTCAGTTTACCATCAAGCACTAAATAAATGTTTGTTTATATGATATACACACTAGAAAGCAGTATTATTCATGTTTGTATCTGTGATTCAAAAAAGGAAAAAACAAATGCAAAATTCACAATTCAGTGCCAGTTTCCACCTCATTTTTCTCTTTCCCTTTCTATTCTATTCTGTGTAGTTTCTTATATTGCACTCAAAACTG